AAACACATCTAGATGTGTCATCTCCAGTCTCCATAGAAGAACATGAAATATACACACGCAAAACTAAAACCACTCTGATCAGGACAAAAACACAAAGGTTATAAACTTCTAATAACATACTTAAAACAAGGCACTTACATCTGACCAAGAGTGACAAGCATGCTTCCTTATGTACATCAGGCTCATGTACAGCAATTTGTCATTTTCAAGGATGTCTCTGAGACAGGCTTAGGCCAAGTCCTGCAATAGAATCCAAAGCAAGGGTGTTCAAGCCTCGTCCTGGAGGGCTACCACCCTTCAACCTATCTCTAGCAAACCTGATCCAGGTAATGAAGGCCTTCAGGAACATCCAAACGTCAGAGCCAGGTGTGTTGGATTTGACCTCTCCAGGGTGGCACACCTCCAGGACCAGAACTGGGCACCTCTGGTCTACAGTATATGGTGCATTATAGTGAAAAAGCCTTTTAAGAATAAGACAAAGCTGATCATAACATTTAAAGTAAGAAGCAAAAATACTGTGGCAATGTATCAAAGCATGAGACTAAATCAGAAATTGTCAGCTTTTATTTTTGGGCAGTTTTCCATCTAACATGAAACTAAGGAAGTGTGTCATTTGTAGGGGTGTAATGATATGGTTCATAACACTGTTATTAGAGCGCTTTACCATTACAAACTAACAACGTTATAAACAAAAGCTGAGCATCATAGTGTCCAGATCTAAAACTCTAGCCACAGGGTAATGTCAGCCCTAAGTTACCACAAAGGCTGAAGGTTAACATGCTAGTCAGAAGACAACGTCTATGATATGCCGCAATACACTGATGCAATACGATACATTGTGTTGATACACAGAGCTGGGCAACATAACAATATTCATCATTATTATGAAAATTCACATCATAATATGTCACAAAATGTGTTTCTGAGCATATCGTGGGCATTGTCAGTACTTAAAAATCCCTTCCCACCTGCAAGTGAGCATAATTAGTCCTGTTTAGTTGGACGTAGTGGAGCACAGTATAAAATGTTGAGTAAAAGTAATCTGATTATATATCTGTTTTTTTTTTAGAGTATTTTTAAAGCTGTAGCATACGATTTCAATCCAAAACACTTCTTGTCAAATCCGAAGGACACAACACTATTCCAGCCAATCAGCAACAGAGGAAGTTCATGCTCAAGCACAGGACAGGAGGAAAGGGAGGGGCTACGTGCTGAACTCCACGCACTGTCAAGAAGAAAAGATGGCCGAGAAACAGCCAAAGAGGAGGCAATCTGAAGAACCAAGATTAAGAAAGAAGTTCTTAGATCAGGTAAGAGTGTTTCAGCGATGAAGAGAAAGTTTCATAGAGAGTTGAAATATATGAAAAAGGATGAGGATGTCGCTCCTGCTTGACATAACTTATTTTTGCTGTTTCACAGAACCAATAGGTTCTAATTCATCAATAAATTAATTTGGGGGGTGGAGCTTCTTAAGGCTAACTGACGGAAGGGGTGTATTTGTTTTGCTGTTAAGTTCAAATATCAACAGTCGTTCTCCAGAATCATATTCTGTGCCTTTAAAATGTGGCAAAACTTTATCTAAAAAAAAAACTGTTGAAACGTTGTGTATCTAGAGCTGGGCGATATGGCCAAAAACGTTATCACGATAAACAAAATTCATATCATTCGATATCGATACATATCACGATAAATGTCAAATCATGATTTCTTTCACGTTTGAAGGCTGATTTTGCTCCTGGGTGGTTAACTGTGGTTTTAAACTATCACTTATGGTCCGATCATGACAACCACTCGGCAAACAGTGGAACATTTCACAGATCTGTCATGGAAGAGTGGGAGAAAGTTTCTGAGCTGTTTTTATCAGCTTGAAATGCACAGCTGCAATTTTTGTAATAGTCATGATTTGAGAAAGAAAACATTATTTTCAGCTGTCTGGTGACGAGCGCTCGGCTACCCCGTTACAAATGATAAACAAGTGGCCAACAACAGCGCTAAACTCTTTAGTTTCTCAACAACGTCAACTCGGTTCGGTAGGTCACTGCGGTCACTCCTACCACATCCATGTCAGAGCAGATCACAGTATTTAGACACCAGCCAGCGACGACTGGGTTTCTCTATGCTATCGTAATAGTTTAAGGGGTGAACCGCAGTATATCTGACGTTCGCTGTGTAAAAGCATTATCTGCTGTGTGAATCTCTCACACCAGTCACAGAGTCCTCCTTTTAGCTATGTTTAAACTGAAAGCGGTGATTTTGTGTCTTGTTTGATCTACAGTATCATCAGTTCTCCGTGTTGTGCCGGAGCGCTGCTTCAAGTTAGCCAGCATGCATGGAAAGAGGTGAGTTCGCTGTAGGTCAGTACAGTTACACCACTGACCTCGTCACTCACACTCGGTCACAGGAGAACAGATCGCCGGTCGCTCCACTCAAACAGGGACTGTATAACTCCGAGTTTCAGCCGTTGCTAAAGTATATTTGGCAACCCTTTTTTTACTCGTGGCCCCCTCCCTCTCTAATCAAGTCGAAAAATTCGAAAGTGCGCCCTCTCCTGGCGACAGCAGAGTAGTGTCGCTTTCCTTGCAGTAGAAAACGCCACCAGGGCTTTCGCTAAAACGTGGAAGTGTGAGAATGGTGTATTATATCGAACATTTATCGAACCTGTCTTATCGCTCTATCGAGGAAAAGTTATATCGCGATACTTATCGTTATCATTTTATCGCCCAGCCCTATGTGTATCGCAAAAAACTTGAAGTATCATATAATATTTTGACATACTGACCAGATCCATTGTTATATTCCTAGTCATTTGATGTGTTGACACCTAAAATCTTCATTGGATGAGTGTTCATAAGTATTGGGACAAATGAAAGATTTTTTTTTCTCCACTGGCCAGATAACCTAAGATGAAAGTTGAGGACTGTTCAGTAGAATGTCTCTCAGACCTATTCCTACAGGACAGGCCTAAATTTAGATTTAAGTTATCTGGTTAAACAGTGAAATCCTGCTTTGTGAAATACCCCCAGGTGTTCCACGTTCCCTTAGATGTAAATGCATAACATAGCAGTGCATGTGCAGGGTTGGTTGAAGTCACTGGAGTTTGCATTAGGGGGGCTGGTAATGATGGAAAAGCAAGCACTTCTGAACACGAGATTAAAGCAACCACTGCATATTTTTGCTTCACTGTATACTGACCAAGTCCATCATTAAGACTTTCCATCACACTGTGCATCCTACATCTGATCTTTTAGCAGTGGTGTCTCAAACTAAGTACTTAAAAGTGAAACTAACAGTGTGTGAGACCTCAGGAGACAATGAAAGAAACACATTCAAGCAAAAAAAATCTGACTTCATCCAGCAGTAGAGCTGGGCAATATGACAATATTCATAGTTATCATGATAAGTTATAATGCAATGTCTCACAATATGCTTTTCTGAGCATATCATGCATGTATATCATCAGCACCTAAAAACACTGATTACAAAGAGAGCAAAATTAACTAGTCCTATTTAACTGGATTTAGTGCAGCCCAGTGAGTGTGCTCACATGCACACAATAATCTGATCATAATCAGATTTCTGCAGTTATCTGATTATTCAAATGGTCATGTAAACAGCATACTCCAATTTCTTAGATCGGAGTAAGGTCTAGAAATATGACTGAGAAATCTGAAAAAGAGAGCTGTATTTTTAGCTCAGAAATCAGATTTCTCAGTGCACGTGAACTCTTACTCTGATTTCTTTCGGATTTCTCAGTCTGCGCATGTGCAACAGACCATGGTACCAGTAATAAGCGAGCAGCGTTGCCTTGAAACAGCAGTAAAACACTTTTGGAGCGACGCTGAAACCAAATACATGCTTGATGAAATGAAGGATTTAATTCTTCATCTTCTAAACGATGTACGTTCATATTTTCAGGTAAAGTGGCTCAGTGTTTTAAAAAAAAAAGCCACAGAATGAAGTTTGAGTTTTGCATTATATTTACATCACGTCTTCTTCCGTGAGTTTATTGGTTTGCGAAGCAGAAATCCGATTACTGCCTGACTCATGTAAACCCGGAGTCTGCCCATTATCTGATTACTCAACTGTATGTAAACGTGTTGATTGCATTACTGACAAAATCTGATTTTCTGCAGTTATCAGATTATTAAGTGCACGTAAACAGTCTGTGAAATGTCCGTAGTTTTTGATGGTGTTTTTGAACCATGGGCTCACTTTGGCTGTTCTAACTTATCAGAGGTCAAGAAATAAATATCGTGGCATATCGTGAAGTATCGTGATATGACATTTTGCCATATCGCCCAGCTCTATCCAGCAGCCAGCCAGTCTGAGCTCCTCATCTTCCAGCACTTTAGCCGCGATGCTAACCTGCACTTCCACCAGTTTGCAGACACCACAGACCTGAGTCGACGGTCCAAACTCACCGAGCCGGACCACAACCGCTTGCCAACCAGAAGGACAGGCAAATAAAGGTGTGAGGCGACGGGGAAAGGCAGTTCATTAGCGTCAAGTGGCTATTTTGAAGCCACGCATCGAGCTAACCGGTCGTGTGGTACCGTTAACGTTAAGTTATCGATGCCTTAGTCAGCCTGGTTCCTCTCAGCCAGCGGAGGGCAAAATAAAGCTCCTCTCCAGCCTTCTGTCGTGCTGTTAGCACCCAGCAGCCAAGGTTAATAGGAATATGAGGAGGAATACGTGCTGAACTCGTCCTCAGTGTTGGCCAAAGCCAGGCTGAGCGGTGTAAACTCACTCTCCCACCCCGCTGCCTGCCTGCCTGCCTGCCTGCCTGCGATCCAGGCGGTCTCTGCTGCTCTCCGATGCGGGCTGAGCTTCCGATCCTCCCCGGGCATCACCAACCGGCCGGGCTATTAAATCACTGCGTTTAAGACCAAACCCGCCCCTAAGAGCCTTACACATAATCCGACAGCGGCTTTTTGCATGCATTACTGCGGGTTTTAGCCAAAAAGAGTCAATCGCTCTGCCGTAATCGTTAGGCTTCTTACCTGCTCGTCGAATCTGTTAATAACGGCCTGAACCCACTCGGCGGGTTTGTGCGCCGCCATAGCCGCCGAGTTTCACTCTTCTTTCTGCTAATGCCCCCCTTTTTTCTGCCTTTGGACACCCGTTAACGCTCGAAGTCCGTCTCCAGGGCCGTGAGGAGGGGGGCGGGTTGTTATTTGCTCTTTTTTTCATCCGAAACACCACCACGCCGCCATGACACTGGCGGAAGTTTGAATCCTCCTTACCAGTAATGAAGCGGCTGAGAGGGGAGAGACTGCGCACGCGCAGTGTGTGTGTGTGTGTGTGTGTGTGTGTGTGTGTGTGTAAGAGAGAGAGAGACAGAGATTGTCTTACTATCCCTGTGAGGACCAAATGTCCTCACAATGATATGACAACATGACAATCTAGCACAAGTTCCTCACTTGAGAACGCGCTGTTTTCACCACGGTTTGTTTGTGGACAAACTAAAAGAGCAGAAAGACTGAAGCAGAAAGGTTAGGGTTAGGTGGGGTTACTGAGGTTAGGGTTAGGGTTAGGTGAGGCTACTGAGGTTAAGGTTAAGTCTAGGTGTAGGCTATTGAGGTTAGGGTTAGGTGTAGGTTACTCAGGTTAAGGTTACGTTTAGTTGTATGTTACTGAGGGCTTAAATTTAAGTCTAGGTTACTGAGGTTAAGGTTAGTGTTAGTGTTAGGTTTAGGTGTGGGTTGCTGAGGTTAAGGTTATGTTTAGGTGTAGGTTACTGAGACTAAGGGTAGGGTTAGGTGTAGGTTACTGAGACTAAGGTTAGGGTTAGATGTAGGTTACTGAGGTTAAGGTCAGGTATAAGTGTAGGTTACTGAAATGAGGGTTAGGTTGAGTTAAGTTTCAGGTTAGGTTTAGGTGTGAGTTACTGAGGTCACGTTTAGGGTTATGTTCAGGTGTGAGTTACTGAGGTCACGTTTAGGGTTATGTTCAGGTGTGAGTTACTGAGGTCACGTTTAGGGTTATGTTTAGGTGTAGGTTACAAAGGTTAAGGATAGGGTTATGTTGAGGTGTAAGTTACTGAGTTTAGGGTTAGGTTTAGGTTACTGAGGTTAAGCGTAGTGTTTTTAAAGTGCGGGTTTAAGTCTAGAATACTTTCTGAAATAAAATTCCTAATTTTATTTTCTGTTTTCCAGTCAGAGGTTGGCCGTAGATGTGGTTAGTGATCCATTTTCACAAGACAAAATCTCCTTTTCACTGTTTAAGTCTTTCCTCTGAGGTCATTTACCAATCACATGCTCGAAAATGAGTTCAATTCAATAATCTGAAGAATGTCAGAAAGACAACTCAGAGGAAGAAAGGCAGACTTGTTGCTCTGTGTTTGAGACTGTATGAACAGCGGCATGGACAGAGAAACCGGACACTGCATGGTGGTCAAAGAACAGTCAGTACACTGTCCCAGTAGTCTGTCAGACATAGCCTCAATATTGCCTGAGCAAAGTAAAGGACTTAAAGGCATAGATTTTAGACCTTACAGCTTTTAATAGTGTCAGAAACCACATAAGCAAGTCTATTTGAGATTACTTAACACCTCCACACAGTTTGAAGCAAATATGATAATGTAGGCATGCAGTTTGCACGATGCTACTTAGTGGGTTATAAGCTTTCAATACTGGTTAGCTACATCAGCCTCGTAGCTCCAGTTAAAGGGTCCATATTGTGTTCCTTGTGTTCCTTTTGTGTTTTATATATTATGCATTACTGTTTCTAAACATACTGTTCCCTCCACAGTCCACATAATGCATATATGGAAACATACGCTGGAAAAACAGCCCATTTGGATTCACTGTTTTTGTGATGTCACAAAAACGGACACATTTACATATATCCACCCATTCAGCCTACAGCAGTTTAGCTCCACCCATTCGCACTGAAGTTATAAGGAGTGTTTCAGCCTTCGGTGTTGAATGAATGAGGCACAATGCAGGACAGCCAATCAGAACTTAGGTCATTTACATATATCAGTCTTAAAGGGACAGCCAGTTGAATTATAAAGGAAGCTTGTAAAATTGTCATGTAAAAATAAATTATGGCTTTTTTTGATACACAAAATCAAACAAACGGTGGACCTTAAAACAGTGGACCTCAGGAAAAAGAATTAAATAAATAAATAAATAAAAAAGAAAAAATAGAAGCATCGTGTGTTTGGAGGAGACCCAGCTAACAGGTGGAACTAGACGACTAAATTGGGGAGAAAATTGGGGGGAAAATGCCAAAAAAGGAGAAAATTGTGGGACACGGACCCCTTATGTGTGCAGTTAGGAATTAGCCTGCTTTTGCCACCAGCAAGACAGCTGCTGCTGCAGGAGGCCTAGAAAACTCATTCAGCGTGAAATGGTTTGCTTTTTGAAGGTTTAGTAAGCAACATTCTGTATTTATCAATATCAGTAGTTGATATTAAATGTAGCCGCTTTCCATCATATGACAATTACTGGGAATTTGCAAATAAAACAAATCTAACAGCTTTAAAGCAGCATGTACCCAGCAAATCCCAGCTCAATCCTGCCCCCTGGAGGTCATGGCAGTTATAAGCAAAGTGAGGAACTGAACACGTTTCCACTACCAAAATGTGGTTCACACACTCAGTGGCCACTTAGAAACCCCTTCCTTATACTTTCACTCACAGTCCACATTCCTCATATGCCCCCTGTATAGGTACACAGTTACAGACTGGACAGAAACCACAGGACGCTGTTGTTTAGATATTATTTGGGTAATTGACCATAACCATTCTCTGTTTCTGGGGTTTTAATACTGAGGTTAAGGTCTCAGCTAGGTTGAGAGTGGTTAACCACCTAAAAACATCCAGCCATCAGCAGCAGACGTTATAAAGGAGGAGACAGGTCACAAGTTAGAAAAAGAATGGGAAATCTCATAATGGTCAGTGGCGTCTGTTTACGGGGAAAGTTTCGGCCTTCAATAAAAAGAGCCAGTTGGCTTTCTGGTAAAGCAGAAAAAAATCTCAGTTAATGTGTGGAAGACCCCATTACCAAACTAGAAAAGAGCCTTTCCAAAAGAAGAATTGTTAAACCAAACATTTTGTTGAAGCTAGCATCACGTCACCGCGGCAAGTGAGTTAGCAGCCAGTCAACGCTGGAGTAGCCAGCCAACATGGGACCCCCTGAATACCAGGGGGAATTTCACACACTGTGTGGAAGTGTTGGAATAGGTAGGGTGATGACTGCATGGCTGTCAGGAACAGGCTGTAGCCTGACGTTGACACTGCGGGACATTAGCACAATTGGAATTTTAAACTTGTGTTTATTGAAGTATTTAGCCATTTAAAACAAATTACATAAATTACATAAAACACCTTACCCTTTCCCCCTCCCCCCACCTTCCTGCCATCACATAGCTTATAACATTAGTTCAAACTGACGTTACTACACAATGTACATTAGTCCCAGGCTTTACAAATGCAGAATCATAAAGCATACTGTGAAAGAAAAATAAATAAATAAATAAAATAATAATAATAAAATACATAAATAAATAAATAAAAATAACAATAACAACAATAATATTAATAAATAAATAAATGAATATGTATATATCAAATAAAGAACACATTTTTGCTTTGGAATATCAGGGTGCTGATTCAGTATCTACCTCCTCCATAAATTTCAGAAACAATTTCCATATTTTATAAAAAACAAGTTTTCCTCTTATTGTGTAAGTTATCCTTTCCAGAATTAGACAGGAAGACAACTCTTTCAGCCATGCATTCACCGAAGGTGCATATATACTTTTCCAATGCGTACTAATCAGGTGTTTAGCATATAGTAGTCCACCATTTTGCTTTCATGTTTTTTAGACAATAGGGTCTCTGGGTACAAACCTAGAATACACAGCTTTGGACAGATGGGTATTTCTTTGGAGATAATCCTGGAAATAATTGCTATTACTTGCCTCCAAAAGTTCTGTATTGCTATACATTCCCATAAACAACATTTGGAAATTTTATCTACCAAGTTGGCCAACCTACATTTTTCACAGGCCTACCAAAACATTAATTTCTGCCTACATACTGTACACCAACTATAACGTAGGGGTTTCTAATAAAGTGGCGAATGAGTGAACAATGTTTATTTCCCTTAAAGAAAACACGTTTCCTCCCGTACCATAACGCACAATATCAGAGAAGGTCTCTGAGCTTGCTGAGCATTTTCTCTCAAAGCTAGGTGGGGACGGTGGGAGGGGGAGCTGCAACATGACATTGTTGGTGAATATTATTGTTCCCTGTCTGCTGGTGCACGGTAACATAATCAAAAACAGAAAACGTTTTAGAGGCATTATGGGAAAACAATAATGTAGATGTATCAAAATTGACGAATTGCGCGAGTCTCGCAGGTCAGACATGATCTCGTAACGAGATCGTTTAGGGATAACTTTTACACTCTTTTACAATGTTGGTGGGAATGTAGACTTACTATGGTGGGAATAAATTGGGTGCGAAATTTCTAAACCAATCCAATGCTGTGGGAAGGTGGAGCTTAAAGTAGTAGGTGATGATGTGCTTGTCAACACCTTGAATGTAATGTAAGTTAGCACGGCTGAACCCCCCCCCCACAAAAAGTCAGATGAAGCATGTAGACGTGTGTGCAGAGAACATATTACATGCAGTAAAAATAAACATTACCTCTCGCAAAGGAAAAACAGCTCGTACTTTAGCTCTAGAGTATAGCAAATATCTGAGTTAAGCTGGCAGCATTCTTCAAGTGAAGGACACGGCTAAGAATGATATCTAAGTAAGTGGAAACATCTTTAACCCCCTAAAATCTCATTCTTATTACATACTTAGGCTTATTATTTAGTAACTACAGGGACTTTAATGCAAACTAGATGAGCTATTCTTAGGTAACAGAGGTGTGTAATAAAACTTTGGGCCTGCTGGCAGGTCCTGGCCATTTGAGGGGTTAAATCTAGTCAATATATCTAATATTTCTTAGTATCAGTAAACAGCGAAACATACTGAATACTACCAAACAATTGTTCAACCCCTTAAATGGCCAGGGCCCATCGGCAGGCCTAAAGTCTCATTACACACTTCTATAACCTAAGAATAGCTCAACCAGTTTGCATTGAAGTCCCTTCCCTTCCATTGTTACTGAATAATATGCCTTAGTATGTAATAAGCCTGAGATTTTCAGGGGTTAATTCGGTTTTTTGAATGCTTAATTTTAGCACTCTGAAAAAATGAAGGCCAAGGAACAAGAAAATAAACCTCTATTTTAAGTGGAGATGACTTAATACTAGTGGAGTATAAATCCACTGGTACTTACTTGTTATGCTGGTACTTGAAACAAATTGGCTGGGTATGAAACATGTAGGACTAAAGCCATTTTTAATTTAAAACTAGTCCTTAATCTCAGAGCAAACATCTTAAAACAGGAAACTGATTTTACTGAAATCACAACCACGACTGCGAGTGAAATATTCCTCAATGTTTATTGACAAATGAACAGAGAGACAGAGACAGAAAGCGAGAGGGAGGCAAAAAGAAATGACGTTGGACCACTGAAGAACAGAAAAAGGTTATAATGTTCGAACATTAAGAGAGAAAATAACATTTCTAAATGAAATAAAACTACACCGAAAAAATCCCCAGGAAAAAGGAAACTGAAATAAAACTGGATGTCCTGGCCAGGCAAGTCAGATACAGGTCAGAGCCGCTTTATGAGGAGCCTGGCCGCTTCCTATTTCCCCCATTATATCAAAAACAGGACTGCAAAACACCAGAGGGCACCCGTGAGCAAGTCCTCAATGAATGGGAGTGAATAGAGCTAAATGGCTAAAAATGAAAACTCACCTGTATGTTTCCTTTTTTCTACAGCAAATGGGTTTTGGGCAGCAGGACGCTAACATTACTGTTACTGAGTGCTGATTGGTTGGCAAGTGGAGCAGCTCATTGGCTGTTCACGCTCACAGTCGTCATGGACGTACATGAAGCACCGTTTTAAACTCCTATAACTCGAGTTTAAAAGCTCTTAAAAATATAAAAGCAGTGTTAAAATGTTTTATGCTATTCAGTGTTCAGGAAATGATTGTATTACTTTACATTAAAAATGTTTAAGCATTTATAAACTATGATTTCAATGCTCCATATCAACCCATTCATTTTGGACTCGCTCGGGAGCGCCCTCTAGCGTTTGAGCAACTTGGAAGACATTACAGAGCGGTAATTCTCCCCTCTATATGAGTTCTCTGTAGACATGCCCAACAACTATCTAACAGGCTAAAAGATAGCCAACGACCCGAACAGCTCCATCATTAATATCACAGGCTTGAATTAAATTACTGACGGTGTGATTAACTGTAAAACGGCAGTATAAAGGTCTAACAAATGTCACTTGAAATGATTACGCACTTCAAATGTCCGTGTTTCAGTCAGAAGTGAAACCCTGGGTTTGCATGAAACCCAGGCTGAACCCCAAACGGCTCCGTACTCCCTAAATAGTGTGCTGCGTAACATTAAGTTTAAAAATTCTAGCTTCTGCTGTCAAATAGTGCACTGCTTGTTGAGTATGAATGAGGATGAGACCCCAAATGACCACTTGTAGAGATATTTTGCATTGTTGGGGTGCAGGAGTCAGTATTTAAAATCCCTATGTTGTGCACTACGTAGGGAGCAGGCAGCCGTTTGAGATTCAGCCCCAGCGTAAGAAAAGTGGCGTCGTCAGACTGACAGACGACTCACTGTGGTAATTTTAGTGACCAAAAAGTACTTTATAAACAAAAAGTATTTGCATTAAACAGTGCTGTGTCACTTATGTTCACTGTTATACGAAAAAAAATTTTTAAAAAACCATGAAATGTCTGCAGTTTACAGTGACTGACGACCGAATGTTCTTCTCCTCATTCAGGGGTCAATGGTCGCTTAGCAACAATATTGTACTAGCTACATATAGGAACTAGCTACATTTCTTGGCGGAAAACTTGTTTATGTTGATTATTATTACTAACGACTTATATAATTATCTAAAACATAGTGTATTTTAATATAGTTTATGTTGGCCACCGTTTTATAAAAGCAATAAGCCACTTGAGGCAGTGTGTTACTGCGATTTTACATTGAGCTGTAATGAAATAATCTTCAACTCTCATGCTGCTTGCATGGACCACCGAATGTACTGATGAAGTAAGAACCCATTTTTTGTTTAAACTAACAGGCTAAAAGCACTGCATAAACAGCTCCATCTTTAATATCACAGGCTTGAATTGAAGTACTGACGGTTTGATTAACTGTAAAACGGCAGTATAAAGGTCTAAAAAATGTCACTTGAAATGATTACGCACTTCAAATGTTCGTGTATCAGTCAGAAGTAGCGTCAAACCCAGGCTGAGTCCCAAACGGCTTTGTACTCCCTAAATAGTGTGCTAACTAGCTATGAACGTTTAGAAATTCTAGCCTCTACAGCCAAACAGTGCATCATTCATCGAGTATGAATGTGGCTGAGTCCCAAATGACTATTTCTTAGCTGTATGTTGCACCGTTGAGGATCCAGTATTTAAATTCCTACTTAGTGCACTTTGTAGGGAGCAGGGAGCCATTTGAGATTCAGCCCCAGCATGAGAAGAGGTTCGCTGCTGGATTGGTGCTAAATAAGCCTTGTGACCAATTTGGTGACCAAAAAGTACTTATAAAGCAAAAGTTTTTGCACTGAACAGTGATATGTTCATTGTTATACAACAAAAAGTTTTTAAAAACTTATGAAATTACCGTAATATACAGCGATGGGTGACCAAATGCTCTCGATGGTTGCTTGGCAACGATACCTTACTCTAAAGGAACTACATTTCTTAGCGGGATTCTTGTTAATGTCGATTATTATTAATAATTTTCTGAAAGATTGTGTATTAAATCATATTTCATGTTGGCCGCCATTATATAAACGCAATAAGCCACTTGTGGCTGTGCGTTACTGTGATTTTATCACAGAAAGGGAGTTTTAGGCACTCTGCTTCGCGTCGTGCAGTAAATCGTGACTTATTGCTTCAGTAAACACTTAAAGAACCCTTTGCATGATTAGCTAAAGGGTTCTTTTCATTGTGAAAGCGTTCTTCAGATTGATGGAGAATGTGTTTTATATGGTTCTATATAGAACCTTTTTGACAAGGGTTCTATACAGCACTAAAAAGGGTTCTTCTATTGTTACAAGCTTGACATCATAACAATAGAATAACTCTTTTTAGTTGTCAAAAAGGTTCTATATAGAACCATCTACAGCACATTCTCCATCAATCTGAGGAACCCTTTCACCATGCAAAGAAACCATTTAATCATGCAAAGGGTTCTTTGAGTGTTTATGGTTCCATATAAACTAATCGATTATTGATAAAGAGCCAATTTTCACACAAAACATCAGCCCCTGGACGAGCATCAGACCTTACGCTGACACAGAGTTGAGGCTAACGTTGCCTTCAACCTCCAGGATGTCAATCTGCTGAAGCAGGAAATAACGGTGGTTGTAGGTGAACATCTGGATGCCGTTGACCATGATCCTGTAGCACTGAGTGTCACAGACGATGGTCACCTGAAAAGGATGGTCTAATTTTAGTAAAAGCTCACACGAACGTTTCCATGAGACACAGATATAAGGAACTATTCATGCCATGTAATCTGGGTTATCTGGCCTATGAAAATGCACTATGAGCTAATATGTGGACTGCATCATGAGAAGGTTTTGACCTTAGATCTCTGGTACACATCAGGGGACTTCTTATCATTGATGAATAGGATTACGTTTGCAGAACTGACTATATGAATGAGTGGTGTGGGGGAAAGACTCCAATTTTGAATTCCAGTAAACATCAGTGAGGCTCACTATACTATTATATATACCACATACTGTATATAAAATATGCATCATAGTCCAAGAAACGTAGGTTAATCCCCGTGCACTGCCACAGGCCTAAAGGTACAAGATTGTTCAGTGTACTGAACACGCTTTGGGCAGCTTCCAAAAAGCTGTTGAGTTGAATTTGTTCCCTCAATGAACAAAAGTGCAGACAAAATTCAGGCTTCAAAACATGCTGAAAGTCCATTCCTGGTAGAGGAATGCAGGACATGCAGGAAAAATAGTCCTGAAAGAAAACTTACAGATTTACCACTATATGGAAGCCCATTCCTGCCTGGATATAAAGGATAAAAGGATAAAAGAGGATAAAAAATTGCCTATGATTATTTTCCTGCTGTTCCTGGCAGCAGCATATCAAAAATAGTGACTTAGCTGCTTGAAATAATAACTTATTTTCTCAAAATGTTGATTAAATATAATTAAAAAATGATGTATTTTCTGAAAATATTGGCTTAGTATCAGCAATAGTTATTTTCTCATTATTTCAAGAGATTAGGTAAATATTTTGAAAAAATCAATAATTATTTCATGATATTAAGTCATTATTATGAGGAAATAAGTCATTATTTTGAGATATTAAGTCAATATTTCAAGAATTATGTTGAAAATATGCAATATTTTGAAATAATTACTTATTTTCTCAAAATGTTGAGTTAATATCTTAAGAAATCTTAAGTAATTAAGTTAATATCTTAAGAAATCTTAAGTAATTAGAAATAATTACTTTCTTGAAATTTACCTCATTATTTCAAAATATAGAAATATAAATCAATATTTAAAGAAAATAAGGGATTAAGTCAATATTTCAAGCAGTATGTCAAAAAGCCTATCTTGAAATAATTATTTTCTCAAAATTTACCCCATTATTTCAAAATATTACGTCAATTTTCCAAGAATATAAGGGATTAATTTGAGGTACTAAGTCAATATTTTGCAAAAATAGTTTATTACTTTGAGATAGTAAGTCATGTTTTAAAGAAAGTATGTTATTATTTTGAGATTTTAAGTCAACATTTCAAGAAAACAAGTAAATGCTTTGAGATATTAAGTCAATATATTTCAAAAATGTATAATTATTTCAAGATATCAGGTCAATATTTAGAAAAAAAATTATTATTTCAAGATATTCAGTCAGTATAATGAGAAAAAGTCATTATTTTGAGATATAAAGTCAATATCTTCAAGCAGAATGTCAAAATCACTTCATATCTTGAAATAATTATGTTTTTGAAATTTACCTCATTATTTCAAAGTATTAAGTCAATATTTCAGGAAAATGAATTTATTTTGAGATGTTAAGTCAACATTTCAAGAAAATAAGTAAATATTTTATGATATTAAGTCAGTATTTTGACATGCAGCTAGACAGTTTTTTCTCCTCTACTTGGCAGGAATGAGCTTCTATAATGTTACCTTTATTAACAGTACATAAAACCCAGAAGACACACATAGGTGTAGCTGGATTTGTGTTGTAGGCGTTACGACCCCTGGTTCCTATCACCACCACTGTAAAGGAATCAGCAAGTTTCTCTACAATTAACCATTTCACAGTAAAACACTCTGAATTACTTCATACCTGAACCACTGAATTCTACAGAAATTCTGAAACAGTTATGGAGTTTCCCTTTAACTAAACACGCCTTAAGCCAACTGTGTGATGATTCAGGCCTGCAGTTAGCATGATGGTGACTGGAGTGCGTAAGCTGTCAGTACATATTATCTACAGACACAGCACGGTGTGCCTGATGGACAGTGTTTAGTGGAAATTAGTGTCATTTTGATTTTTTGCCGAATTATTTTGTTAAATTGAGCTGAAGTGAACTGAACTGAAGTGAAATGGAAGATAGTTTACTGCGTCTTTCTGAGCTGGAGGGTGGTTTGTGAGTGGAGCCCATTAGCAGACAGTTTGTTTTCAGTACCGAGAAGGGCTGGCCTCTGTAGAAGGGCATGCCCCCCGTCTTCTCCTCAGGACCCCACCTATCCTGCAGCAGGCTGTTGCGCACCACTGCGTTTTCACTGAACCGCGGGTTGAAGTGGAACGCAAGGCCAGAGTTAAAGCGCAGGTTGATGCAGAACCTAAAAAGAAAGGCAGAAACTTCAGCCATTTATCCATATTATTTAGCATAGTTATTATAATTATGATGTGCATTTCAATGGTCAATTTTAAGTCTATACAAAACTTTTCTAAATAGAACCGTGAACACTCGAAGAACCCTTTGCATGATTAAAGGGTCCTTTGCACGGTGAAAGGGTTCTTTGGCTTGATGGAGAATGTGTTCTCTACAGTTCTATATAGAATCTGTTTAAAAATGGTTCTATATAGCACCAAAATGGTTCTTCTATCATCACAAGCTTGACATTGTAAAAATAGGAACCGTTTTTGGTGCTATATAGAACCATTTTTAAAAAAGACTCTATGTAGAACCACCTGCAGCACATTCTCCATCAGTCTGAAGAACCCTTTCACCATGCCAAGGACGCTCTGCATGATGATCAGTGTTCATGGTTCTATATAGAACCATTTTCTTTACTAAAGAACCATTTGAAGAACCATTTTTAAGAGCGTATATAAGCAAAAATGCACAGTACTGTGCAAAAGTCAGAGACCACCCTTTATTTATTGAACCAAAATGGCCATTAAGCACAAGTTATTCATTTTTCAGGGTTAGAAAAAAAAAACCAGGGATATTTTTCCACACCTCCGAAGTTCAGTCTTAGAAGTCGGTTGTATTTTTCTGCTTGTCATGATCCAAATAATCCCAAACTTATTCAGTGATGTTAAGGTCTGGACTCCAGGGAGGTCAGTCAATTGTTCTGAGAACACCAGCAGCTTCTTTGTTTGATGTGTCCGTCTCCTTTTCCCAGTAAGGGCTTCTTGACAGCTGCACATCCTTTCAGACCCATAGCGCTGAGTCGTCTTCTCACAGGCGAAGGATGGACAGAAACACCTGTGGATGTTTTCAGATCTGAAGCAGCTTGATTTTCTCCTCTCTCTCAAAGATGAAAGCTTTAAGTGCTGTTTATCCAATGGGGCCGTTTTGGTGTCTACCAGGTCTTCCAGGTGGTTGTTAGGAGTCTCATTTTCTTTGTAGCATTTAATCATCAACTTTAGTTCTGAAAACACGTGGACTGTCTTATATCTAGTCAGAAATAAATCCTGAAAAATGAATAACTCATATTTTGAACCATAGCTAGTAGCTATTTGCTACTTTGTAAGTCTTTGCATTGCTAATGGAATCTACTGCGAGCACCTGTCTGCATCGTGGTTGATAAAACCCTGGACGATGATCGTTTTTCCAGGGTAAAGTCCACCTTGCATGATTGTTTTGTACGGCATAGCCTGTGAATATGAAAAACAACATGACAGACATTTCCACAAATATGTTTGAATCCTTTCTACATCATTCGACACACAAAGAGTGCATGCATTACTGTATAATGTGCATAAAACAACCTAAAATACTTTCAATCTTGCAAACCAAGAAACGCTTAGCACAGCTGGAACAGCTGTTAGAGCTCTAGCTCTAGTGCACTAAGGGACATGTAGTTCTTACGTAATTTTGTGGAGGGCTGTATGGAGGAGGTGCCTGCAACGAAAGAAAACAGAGGATCTTTTTAAAGAGCCAATCAAAATAACCTACACAACTTTGACAAACGTTCTAATCCCTTAAAGGGTCCATATCCTACATTTTTCTGTATTTTGTCTTTTCCTTTTTCTCCTGACGTCCACCTATAACATTTGTGTGAATTTATGCACCAAAAACAGTCATAATTCATTTTTACTTGACCATCTTCCAACCTTTCTTCATCGCATACAAATAAAACAGGCTGTTTTTGTTACTGTGCCTTTAAGACAGATATGAAAATGAGGTCTGTTCTGATTGGCTGCTCTGTATTGTGCCTCATTCATAAAGCAGTCTGAGCTGAAACACTACTTATATCTTCAGGGTGCATGGGCGGGGCTAAACTGCTCTAGCCTTAGTTAATGAATACATGTAAATGGATTTGTTGTTGTGACATCACGAAAAGAGTGAATTTAAAGTAGCGTGTTTTTGGTAGTTTACACACCAATCAGGCATAACATTATGACCACCTCCTTGTTTCTACTCTCATTGTCCATTTTATCAGCTCCACTTACTACATAGGTGCACTTTGTAGTTCTACAGTTACAGACTGTAGTCCATCTGTTTCTCTGATACTTTGTTAGCCCCCTTTTACCCTGTTCTTCAGTGGTCAGGACCCCCATGGACCCTCACAGAGCAGGTACTATTTGGGTGGTGGATCATTCTCAGCACTGCAGTAACACTGACATGGTGGCGGTGTGTTAGTGTGTGTTGTGCTGGTCTGAGTAGATCAGACACAGCAGTGCTGCTGGAGTTTTTAAACACCTCAGAGTCACTGCTGGACTGAGAATAGTCCACCAACCAAAAATATCCAGCCAACAGCGTCCTGTGGGCAGCGTCCTGTGACCACTGATGAAGGACTAGAGGATGACCAACACAAACTGTGCAGCAGCAGATGAGCTATCGTCTCTGACTTTACATCTACAAGGTAGGCCGACAAGGTAGGAGTGTCTAATAGAGTGGACAGTGAGTGGACACAGTGTTTAAAACTCCAGCAGCACTGCTGTGTCTGATCCACTCATACCAGTGCAACACACACTAACACACCACCACCACATCAGTGTTACTGCAGTGCTGAGAATGATCCACCACCCAAATAGTACCTGCTCTGTGAGGGTCCATGGGGGTCCTGACCACTGAAGAACAGGGTAAAAGGGGGCTAACAAAGTATCAGAGAAACAGATGGACTACAGTCTGTAACTGTAGAACTACAAAGTGCACCTATATAGTAAGTGGAGCTGATAAAATGGACAATAAGCATAGAAACAGGGAGGTGGTCATAATGTTATGCCTGATCGGTGTATATACCTACTGGAAATTTGTTTTTCCATGGTACGGGCCCTTTAAACCCTAAAGGTTCCACACTCTATAACTACAGTACATGACTTGGATAGCAGTTTCATAGTAGTGCAGTTTGATGGGTTAAACCAGGGACACCACAAGCAGCAGAGACATCAAATTAAATGTATGTAAAACTTAATAAAAACTTAACTATAACTAGCTCAAGTGCAATATTTCAAAAAGGTTTGACCCTCATTAAGGGCTGTGTCATGTGAAAGTCAGCGTAGACCCACCTGGGACAGGCCTGCAAAGTGCTGCTTTTGTAGGGCCCGTGGTTTACGACCGGATGCTTTGCTTTGGCCCCTCTGCCCCTGCAAGTGAAGGTCTTTCTTGTCATGATGCCAAACTGGCCATCACATTTAAACGTATTTTTTGTTCATTTTTACCCAAATCTTCTCCTCATTTAGTTGTTGCCAGATCCCACCCGCAAGCTAGGTCTTCCCCTATTCCCTGCTGAAAATATCCATAGAAACCATTAAGTGTTTCTGTTGGTTCCTGATGGTTTTGTCATGTGTTTTGGCTTTTATGATGGGACGATATTGCAGTGTAAAGGATCCTAATGGTTTATAAGTTGAACAATGGCTGATTCTAAATGCATCTGATGGTTTCCTAATGGGATCTAAAGGTCTTCTACAGGAAACTTGTGGTCTCTATTGGAAACCATTAAGCCAATTCCCATTAAGTTTTAGTCTTAATGGCTTCTAATGGTCCTTTTTCAGCAGGGTTGACACACAATGTCACTGCAAAAGTGAAGCACCTGCACATTCGCAGAAAGATGCCGCAAACACTGACTGAGAGGCTCTAGTCCTACCCAGCTGTGGCAGTGAGCAGCCTTAAAGGCAGAGCAGCCTGTCAGTTGATATTCGTGGCACCTTCTTTCAACAGCCATGCTAAGCAGAAGGGGCTAACTACTGCCAGGGAAGTGAGACATGAGGGTGCTGAGGGTCCTGCAGCACCCCCTACTGTCAGGGGTTACTGTTAACTGCAACTGCTAAATGTCATTAAAAATATAGTACTTAAAGATCTTTAAAATGTTTTATATGTTTAAGAGCTTCTGAACTTGAGTTACAGGAGTTTAAAATGGCACCCCATGTATGTTTATGACGTCAGTGAGCACAACCAGCCAATGAGCTGCTCCGCTCGCCCACCAATCAGCACTCAGTAGCAGTAATGCCAGCATTTGCTGTAAGGAAACATACAGGTGAGTTTTCTTTGCTTTTTTAGTGAAATACATTCCTCTACTTTCTGAAATGAAAAGAAAGTTCTGTGCGAGTGATTAGGAAACTGTTTTAACTTTTCATTTTTAGCCGTTTAGTTTCATTCACCCCCGTTCATTGAGGACTCGCTCGTGGGCGCCCTCTGCTGTTTTGCAGTCATGTTTTTGATATAACGGGGGAAATAGGAAGAGGCCGCTCCTCATAAACCGGCTCTGGTGACGCAGCTAACTTAAGCTAACTTTCTGTATTTGCAACTTAGCTAACTTAAGCTAATGTTCCCATGCTGGTCTAAGGTGGTTTAAGCTATGCTGCTTAAAACTTAGAGCACAACTTAAAATCCTTCTCTTGTCACTGCTAACCGCTCATTTCTGTTCGTTAGCTCGCAATTGACCAGGATCACACTAAACTATAGAGGGACAGATAAATAAGACAATTTCTTCCCACTGAGAGAGCAGGGCAAATCATATTTTGGATTTCTGACCCTGGAATTCAAACTAGCAATCTTCTGACAGCAGGCTGCCAGTTTTAAGTACTCATTTTAAAATGTCCTCATCAACTTTGGGGAAACCCCTGCGCTGCCATCTTAACTGCTGTTCCATTACTTTAACTCCCAAAAACATAGTGGCCAATAAGCAATAGCCACAAAATACTTTGAAATACAATTTCAATACAATTACAATTTCATAAGAATAACATTCATTTTTCTAAACTGGGATTCATGTAGCAAACTATCTATTATACATGACTGCTGATACAATTTCATCATTCTGCTAACTTGCTAGTTAGCAAACTAAGGCTACACGGCTAGCAGCAACAAAAATAAAGGCCACGGTTTTAAACCAAGGCTTCTAGCTACACAAAGCAATTATTCACAAAATCTATGTTCATTTTCTTCAGATTTTCCAAAAAAACTAAGTATTACAAAGTTTGCCTGGTTAGCTGGCTAGCTGGTTAGCTCACTGAAGCCAACCTAGCTGAGGGCCAAGTGCATTCTGAGTGAATGTTCCACTCCTCGCTGTTCCCTCCTCCTCTTGTACTGTACTGGCAGTACCGTACTGCACTCCAAACTGAAACTGAATTCAAAACATGAAGTGTGCGATAATCATACAGGCCTACCTGGTATAGAAAGCCAAGTTGTGGGACACAGGAGGTCTGCTGGACACAGGAGGTCTATAGATAGGGAACATCACATTTATAGTACAGTTGTGGTTGGTGTTAACTTCAAGATTAAAGGTAAACGTTCAAGCCATAATCTCAAAACCTCCCACATATTTGCTTGGGCAGTTACTCACAGCTGGGTTCTGGAAAGCAATGGAGTCAATCTCTACACCCCCATCCACTGAGAGCGCATTCACGCGGGAAACAGGGAGACGGTGCAAGTATTCCATGAAATGGGCTCCATTTACGATTATCTGAAACAGTTTCGCAATAAAAAAAGATTCAGTTACATTGAGTGTGTTTACACGACCCAAATTACCTGATTATTCAAATGGTCACGTAAACAGCCTACTCTGATTTCTTAGATCAGAGTAAGGTCTATAAATCCGATTAAGAAATACAATGAGAGCTGGATTTTAGCACAGTAATCAGATTTCTCAGTGCATGTAAACTCTTACTCTGATTTCTTTCGGATATGTGTGTAAACAGGCCGCTGTACCGGAAATAAGTAAGCTGCGTTTAACACAGCACCCGTAAGACGGCAACAAAAAAAATTTGGAGCGATGCTGAAACCAGCTACATTAAATATCCTTCATCTTCTAGATGATGTATGTTCATATTTTCAGGTAAACTGGCGCAGTGTTTAAAAAAAACTGCAGCATTTTGAGTTTTGCGTTAAGTTTACATCATGTCTTCTTCTGTGAGTTTATTGGCTGGTTTCAGAGCAGAAATCTGATTAATGATTACCCGACTCATGTAGACCTGGAGTTTTCCCACTATCTGATTTCTCAAGTGTATGTAAACGTGTTGATCGGATTACACTCACTAATGATAGAGGAGCAATAAACGTGTATTTTACAGAAAATTACACAGAAGCCTCAACAACTAAAAATAATATCAGCTTTATTTACTCTTTCCCTTTATTACAGCTTTCATCCTTTTCAGGAGACTCAGTTTCAGTTTCTCAAAGAAATCTTTTCCACGCCTCCAAAGTTCAGTCGAAGAAGTTGGTTGCATTTTGTGCTTCTAATGATCTGAGTGAACCCAGACTCCTTCAAACATACGCTTGAGTAGAAAATATAATGTGCAAATTCATCTGAATGTCCTGAATATACATAAATGAGTAAATGGAGCTGGTCACTATGCGTTTGTAGAGAAGTAGACGCTGCTTTCTAACCGTGTAGGAGTCACGGTTGACCAGGAAGGTGAGGATGAAGCCGGACCCTCGGGGCAGCGGCATCTGGCGGCTCCGTTCCTCCGTGCCCCAGGATGAATTCTGCAGAGTGTTGCAAACCACGAATCCCGAGTTTCTGCTGTAGCGTGGGTTGAAGTGGAGGGCTATGTCGGCTGACCCCACAGTACCGCATTGAAAATTCACATGAAACCTGTCAATACAATTCAAAAATACCATTGACTTAAATATGACAGACCAGGGGTCAGTTTAACACCTTAAACATCTCCAGGCTTATTTTGCAATATTATCCAGTATGAATCACTTATTAGCTACTTTGAAACTTTTATGTATGATATATTATTATGAAAGTGATTAATAGAAGCTTGACTGGTCCTTAAAAGTTGATCTAAAATAAAAACTGACCTTTCTCTTGTTTGTTTCTCTAGTTTATGCCCCTGGTCATATTAAGCACGTTTCATCTTGTCATAGCATTTAAAAGACAAAATTATTTTTTGTGTCTTATGAGCTTTGATTATCGCTGCTGTCGGAAGAAAACCTCATATCCATTTTTTTGTCAGTTTTCAGTTTTTGACCTAATTTGAAAATGCTTGTTGCTTTTTATATTGTGTGTAAATTTAATGAAGAATGGACAAAAAAAACAGCTATCATATCCCAGGGGGTTGCTTGGTGGTTGCCAGACAGTTGCTATGATACCCCTGATGGTTGCTAGGGAGTTGCTATGTGGTTACAATGGTATCCCGGATGGTTCCTAGGTTGTTGTTAGGGGGTTACTATGGTATCCCAGGTGGTAACTAGTGTTTCCAGGTGGTTGCGATATCCCAGGTGGTTATTAGGGTGTTGATAGGTGGTTACTATGGTATCCCAGGCGTTTGCTAAAGTGTTGCTAGACAGTTGCTTTGATATCCCAGGTGGTTGCTAAGGTGCTGCTAGGCAGTTGCTATGGTATCCCAGGTATTTGCTAAAGTGTTGCTAGACAGTTGCTTTGATATCCCAGGTGGTTGCTAAGGTGTTGCTAGGCAGTTGCTATAGTATCCCAAATAAAAAGCATAATAGCATTAAACAATCACTGTATGGTCAGGACATTTGGTTCTGAACCCTGGCCCTGTAGTACCCTTCCCTGCTCTAACACGCCTAATCCAACAAACAGGCCGATTAAAGATGCAACTGCTGAGATGAGCTGCGTTTCAAAGCCTTGGCCGCAGGTAGTGCGGGGTCCTCGGTAGGACTGTCTTATGAAGACTCCCCCTTAGTAGCCTACTGGTCACACAAATGGAACAGTCCTAATGAGGCTGCGTGATGACATCACCAGAGCGACATGAAACTCGAGAGGGAACTGGTGAGAGAAAATGGAGCCTGTTGCATTGAGTTCGTTGCTTTTTCATTTCTTCACGGAAATGCAGGAGATGTTCTTATGTACTACGATAAACTACATGCATACAAATACTTCTAAATAAAATACGATATATGGATGATATACTATATGTGGACGGATGATCTTATTAATCAGTCATTTTACACTGTATAAGGTGACGAAGACAAATTCAAGTACATGAACAACATTTTAAAACAAGCTCTACTCCAACGGCTCTGTTTTCTGTCATTTTGCGTCGTTCATGCGCAGAGAACTGTGGGTAACAAAGGCCTGGAAGGATACATCTGTCCTCGAAATCACTCAGAACGTAGGCTGCATTTCTAAGCTGTATACGAAGGGTTTCACTTTGGAACGGCCTGCTATGACGTAGCGGCTGAGAAATGCGGCCTACCTCGGCTGCAGCCTAGACTTTGACAGGCAGCTGCGATAAGTTTGTGGCTAGCTAGCTAGCTATGATACTAAGGCTAGGCTACAGCCTCTCCAGTGTGCCATGCAGACACAAAACTGTCAGGCAAGCAGACACACCTCTTTCTCCAGATTCATCAGATGTTGGTCTTCCACCTCATTTGAAGGCCTGGGGCAGCCACAGGGAGGTTTTTTCCAGTCGTATGCAAACGTTTGAACACTCCCAGTCAAATGAATGGTTCTTCTGCCAACTTTAGTGCATGATTTCTATTTTTTTGCTGAGTTTAACATAAAAATAAGTGTGTTCTCTGTAGAGGATGTTTTCACTTAGAAAATAAACAAACCATGCAGGGAACATGAAATATCAGCAGAATATTGGTGAGAGTGGACAATTGAAAGGTCAAATGTTTCTAGAGGCAAAGGGCAAAAAAGTTGACAAACCCACCTTTGTGCACTGTTACCGTGGGGCTCGTATTAATGATGTTAACTTCTGAAAACATTTTATATTTCTTTTTTTATTGTTACGTCAATTATTTTTTCACTGATTTTTATGACAAAGTGCCATCACAGGTCCGCTACACACCACTGGCCCCCCTCACTATAGGTCCAAGGCCCACCAAGGGGTGCTTCGCGGCCCACTTGTGGTCCTCAGCCCAGTGGTTGAACCCGTGCTCTAATGGTTTCAAGTGAGTGGATGGCTAGTAACCGTAAGTTATACATGTTTAGCAACAGCTCAGTGTTCCATAGAAATGGCTTAGCATCACCTTAGCAACCACTCGGGATAAACAGGATATCTAGAGTTGGTTCTGACCTCCCTGGGGCTCTAAGCAAAATTCTGCAAAGGGCCCTGCTGCTGGACGTGTGAGCCATGTAAATCATTTGCAATTGCCGCTAGGGTTGCCACCTTCCCAGGATTTTCCTAGATTGTCCTGGAATTTGGTCGTCTGTCCAAAAAATGAATCCATCCCTGGACATAATGTCCTGAATTTCAAGCGTTTTCACAAGCATTTTCATTTTCTAAGGACGTTTCGACTGCTGCTTTTTATTGTTTATTTATTATTTCTGAGAATTATAATGTGAAAAAACACACTTAAAAAAGATGGTTCTTCAAGGGTTCTTTAGCAAAGAAAATGGTTCTATATAGAACCTTGAACACTCAAAGAACCCTTTGCATGATTAAATGATTCTTTGCACTGTGAAAGCCTTCTTCAGCTTGATGGAGAATGTGCTCTAGATGAAAAGGGTTCTACATAGTGCCAAAAAAGGGTACTTGTTCTGTAACAAACTTGACATTATGATAATAGCAGAACCCTTTTTGGTTCTATATAGAACCATTTTCTTTATTCACTGCATCAACAGTGCATAATATAGCTAAAAATATTCATTTGGAATTCAGCCACATCCATTTTTGACAAATACTGCACTCTTAGGCTGTAGAGGCTAGTATTTCAAAACTTACTCAGCTAGCACACTATTTAGGGAGTACGGAGCCGTTTGAGACTCAGCCTGGGTTTGATGCCAATTCTGACTGAAACTCAGACATTTGAAAAGTGTAAGCCATTCAAGTGACATTCTTTAGATTTTTCTGCCGCAGCTTTACAACGAATCAAATCTTAAGTACTTAAGTACTCAAGCCTGTGATATTAATGATGGAGTTGTTTAGGCTGTTAGCTATCTTATAGCCTGTTAGCCAGCTGACCAGCCTAGTTCTAGTTAAGAAACTAACTTGTCAGCCCCTCAGTTTAAACAAAAAACAGGTTTCTACATCATCAGTACACTCAGTGATCCATGCGAGCAGCATTACAGTCAAAGACATTAACAGCACAAGGGCTTTTTTTGTGATGTGACACAGTAATACACAGTTCAGTTGTTGTGAGGTGGTCATAGGTGTGCATACATCGCGTATTTTACATTGCCTTCAAACATTTGGCTTCTTAGACGTTCTCCTTAAATAGCTCAGCCCAGTGGTGGTAATAAAAACCAGACATGCTCCCCCACAGAAAGTTATTATCTGAAATGGTTATAAATACACTGACTGATGTCTGAGACATTGCTTTGCAGTGGTTTTGGGATAAAGTTTTGTCCTAAAATGCATGTTTTTCATGGGGGGAGGGGGACATGCAGGGTGTTCTAAGGCAAAATAGTCCCCAAAGAAAACATATTTTTCTATATCGACCACTATTTTACTATAATCGACATGAATCAGAGGACATGTGTGATTTCGCTGGTGGTTTTGGAAATAAATAAGTAAATAAAAAGGCTATTTTTGTGTTGTAGACATCGTGACTGCTGGTTCTTATCACCACCACTATCAGCAACTATGAGTCGGTGAGTATCTCCGCACATTAGACTGATCGGAATGATCTTGTTTACACCTCATTGCAGAAAGCACAAGTCTGGAAAAATGCTAATTCATAATATCTCAATATCTGAACGCTGAACATTCCAGACATCTAGCTGGGCAAATTTCCCTTTGTCATAAGGAAGGGATATCATGTTATGGTTTGCATTAAGATTTGCATACTGGCCAAGCCGGTATTGTGCAGCTCACCTCTCCGCTCCTGGGAGGACTCTGCCAGTCAGAGTGATGGTCTTCCCTTCATACAGGCCTCCCTGGATGCAGCCCGTAAAGGGGAGTCTCTAAATAGGGAGAAACAATTCAGAACGAAGTCTTAGCGTGCATGTACAAGCGTGTCCTGCACAAGAACCTTTAGGAATGTGGTCACTGTGGAGAGTCGAGCTGCTCAAGTAAGCTCATATACCACAAACCAAAACAGATCGCATCTTAAATGGAAATGGTGTATTAAAGTGCTCACCGGATGCAGGTAAGGTTGTTGGTAGGCCATCTGGATACAGTGCAGGACGGTCAAGAACAGAGAGCCACTGGTCACAAACCGCTATGGAGCTGGCTTTGTTCAAACACCTCACAGGTGCACTGTAAGTTTCGATTTACCTGGCAAACGCTGGGTGTTTCTGCAAGCCTTGTTATCATATTACAGTTGCTTGTGGAAACACACCTGTGACTCTCTGCAACCAGAGGATTGAGTTAATGATCAACACACACAACATATCCACAGCAACAGCAACGGGTCACACTTTATTTTATGGTCCCCTATAGCTTATCTAGAAATGCTCCAGCGTTTGAGTTGTGGAACCTTTACTGTATGAGGAAATCATGATTTTTTGTATTGATAATGACAATTAATAGAAAATGTAAAAGAAAATGTAAATAAAATTGCATTTTGTTGCCATGTGGCAACAGCATGTGGCAGTGGAACTGCAAACTGCAACCCACGGGAATAAACCAACGCACTAATATAGATGTGTGAATAATTACATTGATAAAATCATCAACTTGGAATGTAGAGAAGTTATGAACATTATTACTGGATCACTGTATGCATTGCAGATTGCGGCTCCAGTGTTGTAGGCTTACGAATTACGGCAACAATCAAGTTTTTTACATTTTTTATAGAACTGATAGCATCTGAGCTGGTTTCATTTATGAAGAAATGAAACCAACTTCCTACAGACCGGTTGCTGTGTACTAATATTGGATTTGACATATAGATGTGAGACCTCACCATTTGTCTAAAAACAGAAACTCACTCTGCAATTTGATGGTGTGTGATCAGAAAAATGTGTACCAGGCTTTAGTTTCCCAAAAGCAAAGAAAAAATTACGTTGTAACACAAAAAGGAAAAGAAAGTCATCAGCTGGGTTTCCATCTGCATATTATTAAGCATATTTTGACATATTGAATAAAAATGACCTGACAAAACATGACAGAAGGCAGCAGGTAGCAGTGGACCGAAGAAGAAATGGAAATGTACCTTTATCTTATCGAAGAAGAACACTTAATAGTGCTTCCACTGGTTAACAGAAGGTGCCTGAGACTGATTTTGAGACATTTTATTATGTCAGTGAGTTGACCTTTGTGCTCTAAGGGTGTGAAATACAGCCATAACATAAAGCATAACAGCATAGAGAAGTTACACAATGTTAAAGATTTATCTGTAATCTCGCTTCAGGTGTTTTTATAAAGGTGAATATAGTCTAATTTGGAAATGTAGTCTAATTTGCATATATTTTTTGAAGTTTAATTCCAACTACTAGATAAAAACCTGGCTATTGTTGCCAAATGGCAACACTATGCAGTAAAGGCTTAAATTAGCAGTACAGTATTTTTCTAAGCTCTATCTGCTGCATCTGTAGCACACGGTCAGTTAGCATGGACAATAATTGCAGCACGTTTCACTTGAAAAACAGCAGAAAATCTATCGACTTCAAATTGATGTATAATTGAAGTCAATGGGCAGATGATGAAGCAGGGTTACAATCAGGCTTTAACCTAACCTGTCCGTGTGGTTTATATACAGAAGCTAAGCTGCAAACATGGTCAGCTTTGAACTGAAGTTATGAAAACCAACATATTTACATATATCTGCCTATTCAGCCTACAGCAGTTTAGCTCCGCCCACTCACACAGGCCTTATAGGGAGTCTTTCCAGAGCCCGTTTATGAGGAGTCTGGCCACTTCTTATTTCCTCTGTTATATCAAAAAACAGGACTGCAGAACACCAGAGGGCGCCTGCGAGCGAGTCCTCAATGAATGGGAGTGAATGGAGCTCACTGACTAAAACAGAAGAGTTAAAATAGTTTCTAATCACTCGCCCAGAACTTTCCTTTAACTTTATAAAGTAGGAGGATGTATTTCACTAAAAAAGCAAAGAAAACTCACCTGTATGTGTCCCTTTTTTCTACTGCAAATGGCTTTTGGGTAGCAGGGCGCTATCATTACTGGTACTGAGAGCTGATTGGTTGGCAAGTGGAGCAGCTCATTGACTTTTCACGCTCTCAGACGTCATGAACGGACAAGAAGCGCAGTTTTAAAGAGTTTAAAAGCTCTTATAAATATATCAGCGGTATTATGTTTTATGCTATTCAGTGTTCAGGAAATCACTGTATCCTTTTACATTAAAAATGTTTAAGCATTTATAAACTATGATTTTGCCCAAATGCTCCATCTTAACCCATTCATTTTGGGCTCGCTCGGGAGCGCCCTCTAGCGTTTGAGAAACCCAGAAGACAATACAGAGTGGTAATTCTCTCTAGGAGTTCTCTGGTCTCTCAGTTCAGACTTCTTTCTGAGTGAGGCACAGGGCAGCCAATCAGAGCAAAGGTTATTTATATACACCAGTCTTAAAGGCATAGTAACAAAAACATCCGGTTTAGTTCTAAGGGAAAAAGAGCGAATTAATTAGGACCGTTTTTGGTACATAAAACCACTTAAATGTCAGGGGTAAAAATAAAATATGTGAAAAATGTAGGGTTAGTGCTGGAGTCTTTTAAAAACAGTCATTCTAATTTTATATGCTTTATTTGAACTTATGATGTGTACAAAAGTCAGATACCACCCTTTATTTATTACATTTCCAGTCAAAACAGCCATCACGCATAAGGAGATATTTCTGAGGGATCAGATATAAGATAATCTAATCGCATAAGGAAGGAGAAAGTCAAAGCAAAATAAGTGGAAAAATCCCAAACTGTTAAAAAATGATTAAAAGATACAGAGAAAATGGGGCTCCTAACAACCACCTGGAAGACCTGGTAGACACCAGAACTGTCCCCATCAGATAAACAGCACTTACAGCTTTCATTTTTGACAGAGAGGAGAAAATCAAGCTCCACTCTTGATTCAGATCTGAAAACATCCACAGTCCATCCTTCTACTGTAAGAAGAGAACTCAGCGCTATGGGTCTGAATGGATGTGTAGCTGTTCAAGAAGCTCTTACTGGGAAAAGGAGACGGACACATCAAACAAAGTAGCTGCTGGTGTTCTCAGAACAATGGACTGACCACCCCAGAGTCCAGATCCTCAACATCACTGAATAAGTTTGGGATTATTTGGATCATGAGAAGCAGAAAATGCAACCAACTTCTAAGACTGAACTTTGGAGATGTGGATTAATGAAAGGTGGCCTCTGACTTTTGTACTGTACACGATGTTCCTTCAAATCTGCTCCATCACATTCAGACCAGTTCCATTACAAATGCAGCCACAGCCACATGACAAGCTCCGTTTTATTGTTTCTCAAGGATGAAAACAGAAAACGTGTATTGTATACAGAATGGTAGCCACATGCAATACAAAAATATGAATTTGTACATGACAGAACATGTATTGACCCATTCTAAAAAATGTACAATTTTGTATGTTTTACAGCGTCTTTGTACATGAAAAAATAGAAAGATATATATACATCTGGAACAGGGGAGCAGTTACTTCTTCAAAAATGTCATGATGTACATTATATATAAAATGTTCATATAAATATTAAAAGAAGAATTATGTTCATTAGCTGTACAATAAATAAATCCGAATTTTTATACATGTATATTTTACACGTCGTCAATATTTCCGGACCACGAATACTCCAGTCGTTCACAGAATTAACCCCTACGTTTTCAAACACGTTACACCCACACGCGCACACGCACGCACATCCACACGTACACGGCAATACACACAAGCACGCACGATACGCACAAACGCACGAGAGGTAATGTTTACGGGACTCGTGATGGGACGCTGCTGTGCCGGGTCGTTCTGTTACCGGTGCAGAAGGATCTACTTGTTTATATCACTTGACGCTACTTGTGAAAGAAAAAAAAACTATTCTGAAATCCGGAACTACTTAAGCTGAGAAGACGACCGTGCTTCTCTTTGGCTCATTGTCACGCTCGGCTCGTGCTAACTCGGAGAGTTATGGTAACTCGAGTGCAGTCCTATAGGAGACACAGACAGCAAATAGCCATTCAAGAGTAGACATAATGGGGGTCACTGAACTGGACACACATTGCATTTATTTCTGTAGCTCTTTAAAGCAATAGTTTGACGGAAAACTTACACAATTTTCTTCTTACCCCAAACGATCGTCTAAGACAAGTTTGGTGTCTTAAGTTTGCTTCTTTAGTTTTGCACTGGAGCTATGAAGCTAATGTAGCTAATAAACAATGGAAGCTAACCAATTAGCCTCGTGCAAACTGCATGCCCAAATTATTGCACACACTGTGTTGAGTTGTTGAATGGGCATTTTCTCATGTTATGCACATCATTGCTGTCCCGAATTCATGATTGTATATTGTTTACATTTGTAATGTTTTCGTGTTTTAATTCATCAATGATTTCTCACTACAATACCCAGCATGCATTGCGCAAATACGTTATGTAATCACTGGGAATCCCTGTGGTGCCACCCAAGCAGCAACGCAACTCTTGCCTTGGTTATCAAACAAGATAGCTTTTTTTTAGCTACTACAAAAAGACCTGAATGTAAAATAAGATCTAGATAGTCAGTTAACTGTATCTTTTCGCTTGTGGTGCTTCTCATCTGACTAATCATATCTGTCATTTGAGTAATCCATTCTCGTCTTGATGAAAACCACAGTTAAAGATTTTCAAATTTTCAATATGATATTTGTTTATGTAGCTCAGGGGTCGGCAACCCAAATGTTATGCAGAGCCATTTTGTCCTTTCAACAAAAATCAAACCACGTTGGGAGCCACAACATTCTATGTTGATTTTAACATCTTGGCTGTAAATATGTCTCATGATGTGCTAATGTGTTAAAAATATTAATGAAAATGAAGCCGCTTTTCTCGCATCTCCAGCAGGAAACTTTTCCGCAAAAGTACAATAGTTTCTTGTAAAATGTCTCTCAATGTTCGACTTTTTATGAGGCTAAAGGCGCCACAGTGTAACTGCGGCATCATTTAAGCAAATTCAAAAAATTTAAGAAAATTCAAACAAGAAGCTGGCGAATGAGAAACTGACTTCAGCTTCGCGACTTTTTAGTGTTTGACAGTTTCTCGTTGCGGATTAAACGGAAACCAGCTGGAGTGATTATAAATCCAAAGTCCATTCATCTCCAAATTATCGATTTTTATCTTAAATCTTTCTCTTTGCCATTTCGTTAGCTATAGCTAGGTGAGACTGTTGTCTGTGTTGCTATGGTGACCAGCAGTCTGCGCACCAACCTTTAGGTTAAAAGTTGGAGAATTAGCAGTTATAAGCTACACTAACTTCTGTGTTTAAAACCATTTATTGTTAAAACTGTGTTGAACGATCTGCAGAGCTTTATTTTACTGCAAAGGAGGATTATTTTATTTTTACCTACAAATCTAGTTCTGCTGTGGAGCCGCAACAGGGCAGTAAAAGAACCGCATGTGGCTCCGGAGCCGCATGTTGCTGACCCCTGACCTAGCATTAAGGCAAGCTATTTAGCTTCATTTAGTGAGAACAATACAAAAAAACGTACAACTCCAAAGCAGCTTTAGTGTTTCAGTTCCATCCTCCTTCAACATGCATCATCAGAAGGCTGTTTTCTTAGTCTTTACACTGGAAAATCCCACTCTATTCACTACTGCAGCACCACTGTAGGATGTAAACATGTTGCGATGGATGGAACCGATGTGGGACGTTTGTCTTTCGGGTCGTATTATCCCTTTAAGTAACCTCAAACAGCCTTGCTGTGGTTTCCAACACTGTGTGAAACTGTTATTTATAAAAAATGGACAGTTTCAAGATGGATGCTACTACTGTCTTTATACAGCGTCCAAACTTTGGTCTTGACTGATTGGGGTAAGTGGACTATTGTGTAACACTGATTTTTCGGCAAACTACTCCTGTTAGACGTTTCAAGGTCGCACAGCATTTTTGTTCCCCACCTCGCTCCATTGCAGAGACACCTCAGGGTTGGAGAGTGGCACTACGCAATAACGTGGAGGGCAGACAGCAACTAATGTCAGTCCGTGCAGAGAGAGAATGTGAATCAGTGAGAGAGAGAGGAGAGCAATAGTACACGTCATTCGAGGAGCCAGAAGCACTGCACCAAGACCACAAAGGAAGAGAAGAAAAGGCAGAAAAGCTCTGAGCGTCCAGCCGCGAGGGGGGTGAGGGGGCAAGGGCGGAGTCCGTCTCGGCCCGAGCGCTTCAGAGGCCTGGCAGACGCTACATCTCAGGAGTCCAGATCCAGCCAAGACACCACAAGCCAGAGAGGAGAGAGCAAGAGGGAGGGAGAGGGAGCTGCCAGGACTGTGGACCACGGAACGGAGACAATGTGGGTCAAAGACCTTTAAGTATACGATCAGTCTATAACATTAATATCTGTTCTTCACATACATTGTTGGTGTGCATTTATTATCCTTTATTTACATTTTTCACACCAAAGATTTCAGTGTTTTGTATGTGTTTTTTCGAATTAGTCATTAAGATGTTCATCTGAAGCTACACTATGTAAAATCTGGGGATTTGGAGACCTCTCTGGTGGAAATGTGTCATTGCACGCAATATGTGCAAGTACATTTTGTAATGTGGGTTGTATGGATGTAGGAAGGATGTATGACATGGTTCGAAAAACTCCCACGAAATCTGACCCGATGCCTCTTTTTCTCCTGACTCAGTGATGCAACTTCTTTCAATTTTAACAAATAAAAAAAACATACATAGTGCAGCTTTAAGCTCATGTAATGAACTTAAAATACAGCTAACAAATAACACAAAGCATTATTTCAAATAATGATCAGGGAAATTAAAACATAAAGCGAATATGTGATTGTTAATTTATTCTTACTGTTTTCTTACTTTTTCAGCTGCCAAGACATCAAAAAACATCACTGCAAAAGAAGTGGCAGCATGTGCAAAGTCTACCCTCTGCATCAATCTACAAAGTCTTGAAGTATTTTTTTAGTTTATGCAAAAATCAAAAAGGTGCAAAAGCAAAAAGAATTGCGGAAATGTTCTGCTGTACCGACTGTTTCACGCTGCTAAACAGTGTTAGGTGTACTAAGATGAAACTGAAGATTACGTGTGTGTGTGTATATATATATATATATATATATTCTATAATACAGTGTTTTCTTTGTGCACTGGTGCAAATACAGGGAGGGAAGGGGTGGACAGGAGGGACACGTCATTCCCCAACTTTTTGAAATGACGTGAGAGTTTTTGTGGTTGTGGGATGGTTGTGGAAAAAAGTGCATAACAAAAAAGCTGCCATATGAATTACTATACAGCTGTCAGTTGCATTTTAAAGCTGTATTTCAGGGCAGAATAGATGTTCTTTCATGCTGTCAGTATTTTAGTGATGCAATAGAAAGAATGCCACTGTAAATAGCAACAAAATGTAATGACTTACTGAGTATGTCTGATATCAACATCACTTGATTTTGTGTTTTAATTCTGACAAATAAAGTATGAGATGTCAGTATAATAAGTACCTATAGGCATACTTTGCTTACCATGTATGCAAGATAGTGCCTCCTAACTTTGACAACCACCCCCCCCCAAATTGTCAGACCAAATTTGCCTAGCTGTAAAGTGGGCTCGTGGCATTCCATTCAATTCCAAAATTCTGGGTCTTGGATACACCTAAAGAAATGGGCTTTCCTTCTTTCTCGATAGCAGAACAGACTACAGTGAGTGACTGCTGTGAAACAAAAGACCCCAACTATCATAAATATGTTCCGTGGTACACAGGCAGCGCAAACTCCGAAAGGAACAATCAGGAGTAACAGAGGCTAAACTCCAGCCCCCCTCTCTCCTCCATGCACTGCTGAAGCAGTCTCCCCTCCGAGAGAGTAAGAAGAGTAAGAAGGTGGAAGATCGGGCTGCAGGTCAGTGGAAGCAGGATCGGTGTCAGGCAGAGTCAGTGCTTTTGCTTTTGCTCTTTAGTCCAGAAGAGTTAAGGATTTTCAGGACGCATGCAAGGCAGACCCAGGCTTTGTTTTGCATTGCTTTTGTGTTTCACACAGACAGCTACAACCTAAAGAAAGGGGAAAAGAAAGGACGGACAAAAGAGAGAAGAAAAGGACGCAGAGGTTAGCTTGTTAATCGACGGAAAAACAGAACAGAATGCAAGTTCATTAGGAGGAAGCACAGGTTAAAATGTTAGTGGAACTTCTGCTCGTAGAAGGAGAAGAAAAGGGGGAAATAGGAAGTGAAATGAGAACCGGATATCAAATACTCTCCAATAAGAGAGAAAAAGCAGCCAATGCATCAATTACATGTTTTAAGCAATTCGATAGTGTCATTTCTGTTCAGTTCACTCAAAATTTTATAAAATGACCACTCATCATCTGCAAGGTTTAAACAAGTCACTTCACAGCAAGGATCTAACGTAATATAAACAACTACATCTGAAAGTTTAGTTTTATAACCTGTTGAAAGGGCTTAGCAAATGTCTGAATTCATAAATACATGACTTTTAAATTACAGTGGCCATAGAGTTGGCTATTGGAGGTCACTGCATCAATCTCCAGTTTTTGCTTCTTCAAAATGTTTAAATGGAGTTGAATTTCCTTATACGGTGAATAGGACTGACCACAGTTCAGGGCTTTGTGTACAGACCTGAAATCATTCCATTGGACAAAACTGTCATATTGTGCAATGCTTCAAATTTGACAGAGATTAGAGATGCACCGAAATTTCAGCCACCAAAAATGGTCAAAGGATGAAAATTCTGACTGAAAAAACACAAAGATTAATTAGGCCTACAACAAAATCATTTTAAAGGCAATGAAAATGAGAAACAGCGATTAAATACACTGTTTCTTTCCTTCGGTGTCCTGTATCAGTCAGTGCTGATGCATTCAAACAGTTTGAGTGGCAGCAGATCAACAGTGAAAATATCAGCTATGTGAAACAGAACATTAAGGACATTGAGAGATATTAGACTAGCAATTTGTTCGCTGTTCGTGCAGAATATAAAGGCGGGAGTGACAACCGAGAACTTCTCCACTACAGGTTTGATACCACTTGAAAAGATGACATCGTACTCAATTCGGAGAACACAGCAAAAAAACAGAAGCAGAAAGTCCCTGCGAGCCTCATCTGTAGCCTCAGTTTTTGAAATGACAAAAATCCACAAATGACGGAGCTGAAGTGCAAGTATAACTAAGAAATTGAATTCATTGCTTTGGATGATGAACTGCTCTCTGTTCATGATCATTTTAACTCTTATCATCAGCTTTTTCCACTTTTTGGGTTCAGTTTTGGCCAAGAATTCCCATTTCGGTGTATCATTGATAGAGATTAACCTGAACATGGCGCTATCGCAGAATACACTACATGACTGTAGTATTTTCTCAGTTTAGGATCTAACAGCCAGTCCAGAGTGTGTTTCTCATACACCAACCATGGACCAAACGGGGACCAAAAAAGGGGAGAATCCAGTTTGGGAGTTTAGCCCAGTTGTGTGACGTTCAACATGCCTCCCAACGCCTTTGTCCTGTCTCTAGGATACATACTCTGCGGACTTCCAGAAGTGTCCAGGGTGGGACAGCCTGCGGTTGAGCTTGGGCAGCTTCTCCAGCATGTCGGCAAGCTGAGTGAACGTGGGCCGATCGCGCGGGTCGTACGACCAGCAGGCCGAAAGGATCTCCTGAGGGCAGAGTTACACAGGGGTCAGTTAGAACTGAACACTAATGCTGACCTACATAAGCATATCTAACGAGTCATAAAGGAACACTAGGTACTTCTGTCCCCTTTAATTACCCCCAATAAAATATGGGTTATTCCACACCAGCTCATCTAGAGGTTAGCAGGTCTTCATGGCTTTCAAGGCATCTAATATTTTCAATAAAAAAACAGGCCCAGCATCAGGGGGTCACTGAATAATAATAATAATAATAATAATAATAATATTAATAATAAGAAGAATATCTTTATTTATAGAGCATGTTTCATACCGGTGGCAGCTCAGAGTGCTTTATAGATAGGTCATAAAGCTTAACAGTAATAGAAGGAACTAGAGTAAGAGTATTAATTTAAAATCTAAAAGAGTATTAATGTAAATAATTTAAAACCATATACGACAATGACACAGATAAAAAGATAAATGGTAAAGAGTTGTAGGATTTTAATTTAATGCTTAGTTAATGAGATATGCTTTCAAATGTTTCTTAAAAGTGAGCACTGAGCTTGACTGTTTAATAAAAGGTGAATTGAGTTCCACAGTTTACAAGCATAATAACTGAAAGAGTCTTTCCGCGTATTTACAGATTTAAGGCCAGTATTTACAGATTTAAGATCATGTGCTGGAACATAAACAAACACTCTGTGAGGTAATCAGGAGCTTTAAGGTCATTTGGGGCAGCCAGTGCAGTTCTTTCCAAATGGCAGTGATATGTTTTTAGGATCTGTGCTGCTGCATTTTGTACGAGCTGTAAAGGACGTATTGTTTTCTTAGGAAGTCCAGTAAAAAGAGCATTACAGTGATCAACTCTGCTTGTGACAAATGCATCCAATTATGACCCACTAAACTCTCTATTTTTTAATGCTTCTGTAGTGGCAGCTGGCAAAAACAAAGTGAAACTAAACTGCTTCTTGGCACATACGCCTTATATAACTGATTAATGATTAACACAGGTTAACGATTAACACAGAAACGCTTGCGTGCATCATTCTGTATTGGCTGCATTTTAGGGATGCGCTGTGTGTCCGTTCGACAGCCACAGCGGTCAAGCCCTGAAAAATACCAACAGTAACCATTCTGTGGTTTAATTCTTGCTTTGTGTTTAGTGGGAATAAATGGCGTTTGGTGAAGTTACTTCACAGTAAGCCTGATGACCATGACTACAGCGTTATTTCAGTGAAGAATAATGTATTTGTGAATAGACTGTGTCAAATATCAGATATCAGTTCGCCTTGACGGAACAGGGAGTAAAACTAATAATAATAAAAAACTATGAGCACTAATTAAAAATCATATAAACCAATGACAGATCAAATTAAAAAGATAAATACCAAAAAGACTGAGGATTAAAGTGATATGTTTTCAAATGTTTCTTGAAATTGTGCACTGAGCTTGACTGTTTAACAGAAGGTGTAATTGATTTCCACAGTTCAGAAGCACAATAACAGAAAGAGTCTCTCCACATTTTCTGTATTTTAAAGAAGGTGTTTGCAGAAGGTCAGTATTTACAGATTTAAGATCATGTGCTGGAACATAAACAGACATTCTGTGAGGTAACTGGGAGCTTTAAGGTCTTTTGGGGCCTTCAAACTAGTAGCAGAACTTATTTGTGAATAGACTGTGTCAAATATCAGATATCAGGTCGTCTTGACAGAACTGCGTGGGCGGGCTAAAACATTTCGGCTGTGGGCGGGAGCGAGACAAATGATTCTGATTTTCTGCAGGAGCAGGCGGGAGGAGTGAGACTGAAAAAACAGTCCCGTGCAGACATGTACCGTACACTTTTAGTCTGTAATTTCTCTCACATCCTCTACAGAGAACACACAGAGAACAATGCAGTTGCTGCTTATTTGCTAAATTTAACATACTGGAAAAACAGAAGCACTTGTGGCCTGAGCTAAGTAAAGGCATATTTTATGTTTTTGTAATGTATGTTTTTGTAATGTATATTGTAAATATGTTAAACCCCAAAAAAGAAATAAATAAACAGAAATTCTACACTAAAATGTCCAGAAAATGCCATTTAGAAATATTATATATATAAGTACTACAGCCTTAGAAAATCAACAAAACATGTATTTGACCGGGTGACTATAACTGTAACTGTACAAGTAAAAGAAAAAAAAGTTTGTAAATATTTGAAGTTCCTCACCGTGACCTCTTTGCCCAAGCTGATCTCTGCTAGCACCTTCTTGATGCCCTCTCCGCTGCCCACTTGCCAGATAGTGGCCTCCACCGGCTGGTTAGTGATGGGCCAGTCTCTTGCTTGTAGCTCGTACCAAATAGTGCTGAAAGCAGAAATACTGGTACATTGGTCACTTCATCGAGCACTAGGCCAAGTTTTGGGTGCGCTTTCTTAAATATCTTTATGTTTGAACTCATTTTAGTCCCTGAGTACTTAATCATGCATTTCAATAAGCGATGTGTCATTTTTACATAACTTTTTGAATGAGCAGGCAATTTAGAACTGCAGAGACTGTGGGGACACAAGCAGCTAATATTAAAATATTAAAAATGCTCAAATTACACAGAAACGAACCGTTACTATTACGGCTGAAGCTTCAGTTTGAGCCAAGGCTAACTTCAGCCAGCGCCCGCATGAAATTTTACTAAATTTTAACAGCCATTCACATGAAAATTTTTCGCGGTACTAAATTAAACACGGACATGAGAAGCTTGTAAAAGTTTGTAACAGACATTAACATATATTTTCACTTGCGTCAGTTTTACAGTAACGTTTCAGTCCTGATGTAGAGCTGCCGCTGTTTTAATATCTGACTGAAACGCATTGGTCAGGCTACTACTCCCAGTCAGTGAGATATCTAGGACTTCCAGAACGTTTTGTCTCACAGAATTGGTCCCACTCATTGGAAATCACACTGTGTTTGGCAGATTCCACTGTCACCCTAATTATATTGCTGGTTATTCTGCTATTTAAGGCCTTCAGTTCAGCTCCTGAAGTCCTAACCAATAGGAGAGCTCGCCTGGCTGTATCTCCCCAGATACCATGGAGAAAAAAACCTGATTGGATAATTTTCCATTGGGCAGGAACTTAACCCTTTTGTTTCCAACTAAAGCTTAACAATAAATGAAGTGTAGTACTACAATTTGTGCACTTTAAATACAACTTGCAGGATGATTACATTAAATAAAAATGAAGTAAAACACAGAGGCCTAGAAGGGTTCCCCACTGCCTAAGACACAGGGCTGCTCGATTATGGCAAAAATCACATACACGATTATTTTGGTCAATATTGAGATCATGATTATTTAACATGATTAGCCACTGACTTTGGATATTTAAATTTATGAATTTATTGTTCTTAAAAAAAAAACGTTTTCAAGTTGTCCTTGAAATTTAAATGTAATTGAAAAACAATTAAAATTACATGTAAAAGAAGATAAATACATAAAACAAATAATATTTAATCCATAAATATATACATTTAAATAAATAATATAAAATGAATTAATAAAAGGCCAAAATAAATAAGATCAACTATGTTGTAGTGTACAAAATAAATTAGATGAGTTTGGGCTTTTAAGCAGGGGTGAAGCGCATCGCTGTAACGGAAAGGTGTGTGCTGGATTCATAACGCAAGACAAATCGAGAGCATCGCTGTGAAATGGAACGCGACACAATAACCATTTTATCTCGATTATCTTGTTTTTTAAGCCAAAAAAAGTTTATGATTGAAAATAAAATTTTATTAATCCTCCAGCTCTACTAAGATAAACCACTAAATCAACCGAAATATCAGGATTGTCGCTTAGGCTAATTTATGCTAGCAAAAAACAAATGTGAAACCTTCCATGTTTCTCTTGTTTATTTACGACAACTTTCTCACCGGGATATCTGAAAGCTGTTTGTTTAAAAAATGTGAATGTTTGAAAAGCAGAAACATCCAGTACAAATGTCTCCCTCACCCAAAGGCATAGACATCAGCAGCGTTAGAAAACGGCAGGCGATCCTCGTTGTTGCCGGGACTCATCTTGCGCACAATCTCCGGGGCCAGGTAGCAAATCCAGCCGTGAGGAAGCCTTAGCTCGTTCTCCCGCCTGGACACACACACGTGCACACCTCAATGACTATTTGCACCAGTCAAAATGACTTCATACATGCTCTCTTATCAGTGAGAACAGTGCTGTGTGAAGCAGCCTTTACCTTCCTTCCTGAACCACTCCAGAGATCCCAAAAAGGCCAAAGTCTGTAATCACCACTTTGTTGGTGTCATGAAAGACATTCTTAGATTTCAGGTCCTTGTGAACGATTCCTTTTGCATGCAAATAACCCATTCCCTGTTAGAGAGGGGGAACCAATCAGAACAATGTTAGCAGAAAGAAATGACAGCTGAGGGCTCATAAACATTCATGGAGCTTATATCACAATAATACAGAGCGTCAAGGTTGTCACTATAAGAGTTACCTTCACAATCTCCTGGGCAATCTGTCTCGTCTTGTTGATGTCCAGTGTGTTCTTTGTGTCTCTCACAACAGAGTACAATGTTCGGCCTTTGCAGAAACTAAGAGATGACAGATGATGTTTATTATATCATATGAAGAGCTCATTCACAAAAAATGATAATGTGCATTCTGCACTCTGAGCCCTAAATACGTTTTGTCACAAAAGCTGTTGTTGTCCATTGTGAATACATAGCAAGTTGACGTTTTATAAACAGAGCAAAGTGAGTCTAACAAAGAACCACTGTGGATTCAGCCACGTGTGTACAATTCATACTGGAAATAATAATATAATATTATAATATTTGTGTGTAAAAGCCAAAATTTCATACGCTGCACTATATAGGGCAAGGTCCGGCAACACGTGTAACGGGAAAATTCAAATAAGAAACTGGCGAATGTTTTACAAGAAACTGTTCTACTTTTGAGGAAAAGTTTCCTGCTGGAGATGTGAGAAAAGCGGCTATAGCTGAGCTGAAGCTTAAAGCAGAGCAAAGTAAGTCTGCGTTTTCGTTTATATTTCTTTCCTACACAAGGACATTAGCACACACTGAGACATATTTAGAGCCCAGATGATAAAAAGCTACTTCAGTAAAATGGACATAAAATGTTGTGGCTCTCGAGGTGGTTTGCCGACCCCGATATAGGGAGAAGTGAGCCATTTGAGATTCAGTCTTAGGATCTTCTATGTATGATTTTAAAGATGTTTCATATTGACCATTAATGGGCTGTTTTTGTTGGCAGTTTCAGTACTTTAGCTACTTGTTTTATGTTAAATATTGTAAAATATTGTACTGTAAAGAAACCTCTATCCATTAAATGGCTTTGTTTAACTCTGAAACATGAAATTGCCAAAAACAAGTAGAATTTTGTAAGTTACCTGTATTTTATTGAGTTATTTTTACTCAATCAAAACAACTCAGCAGCAAACATGATCTATGAAAATTATTAAAATGAAAATATCAGTTTTTGCTAATGAACTCTTTACATATTATTGTGTTTTTCTTTCATTTCTTACTTATTTTGCTACAATCTTATTAACTTTCTCTAAACGTTTATTAGTTCAATGTGCCTCGTTTATTACTATCTGTAAATTGCTTTGAATTACAATTGTATGACGTGCTACAAAGACTGGCTGATTGATTTATATCACACTAGATGCTGATATGAGAGTAAATGAAAGGACTCTTCCCCTCCTTGACCCTCAGACTGACCTGGTGATGATGGCCAGGTGCGGCGGTGCCATGCATGCGCCCATGAACAGCACCACGTTCTCGTGCCTCGTCTGCCTGTAGTTCATCACCTCCTTCTTGAAGAGCTTGAGGTGGTCCTGGTTGTTGCCGTCGATCTCCAGCAGGCGGATGGCCACCTCGCCGTGCCAGCGGCCCCGGTGCACCCGGCCCCAGCGGCCCTTCCCGATCAGCTCGCCCAGGTCCAGCTGCTCGAAGGGGATGTCCCATTCCTGCAGGTACACGCTGGTCTGGCTGGCTTTGCGCGAGATTGGGCCCTTCCAGTGCTGACCGCCGCGTGCGCTCGGCAGGTCATCCAGCTCGTCCCCTTCACACTCGCCCTCGGAGCCGCCGTGCAGCTCCTCCTCCTCTTCCTCCTCACCCTCCTCCTCCTCTTCGCACTCGTCCTCCTCCTCGTCTTCCTCCTCTACGACCGGGTCGTCTTCCTCCTCCGCTTCTGCATCGTCATCCTCCTCTTCCTCCTGAGAGGTGAGGTCAGCCCATTGGTCAGTACATGTCACAGATGTCATGGAACACGTCACAACACATGAAAGTAACTATGTATAATATATATAAGGATCAAGGAAAATATGGCAGGATCGCACTAAAAGTCGGACGAGTTATAACACATGTAGCTGATTACGGTCATATGCAAAAGTTTGGGTTCCCCTGGTCATGACCCATCCTTTACAGAGAACACGTTCCTGGTCATTTTAATGCACAATTGCTGTTTATTTGCTGAATTTAACAAACAAACTTAACCTTAACCACTGGGAAAACTTACTTCTCCATCTTCATGCTCAGCCAGCTCAGCATGCCGCTCTTCTGCTGATGCTTCAATCTCATTACTGAGGGAAACAAAGTGAGAAGTTTAACCAACACAAAAATCCAGGAAACCTTGGTAACATTTATTTATAGACCTTTAAGTTCTAGATATTAATGTGAATTACACAGATTTTTCAAAATCTCGGCATAATTAAATCGTTAAAGTGTTAACAAAATCAGTCAGAGTGGTTTGGTGTGAAACGCTCTGACCTAGAGAAATTTACAGAGTCAGAGTTGCTCACAGTGGTGGTGATAGGAACCAGACGTCTGAAGAGTTTAATGTCTCTAAAAACTCCCTTACAGAAAACTGTTACGTAAAATGGGTATGAATATGCCTAAAGCCTGTTTTATGATAGTTTTGGCCTAAATTGCATTTTTAAAAACCTATTCTTGGTGGAGAGGTACATGTAGAGCCTTGTGAGGCAAAATAGCCTCCAAAGAAAATATATTTTTTAGGATTTAGGGCTACTTTAACATTATCACCAATACATATGAACAGATATGTACCATGTTAGACTCTTATGTCTTCAGGCGTCATTATACAGCCATTGTACCCCATATAACTACCTGATACTCTGCAAAATGTCCAGTTTACTTTCCTGCTAAAACTTGGGTCATTACAGTGAAACGTAGAGCGAGTTTTTTAACTTGCCACCTTGTTACTACAAATAATTATCCAATTATGGGATAATATCTAGAACTTAATATCTAGGACTCGTTAGGTATTTCAGTGTAATTTAGTTTACACCATCATACTGTCCAAAATAATTATACAGTACTTTGGAGTCTGAATCCCACACTACCCTAGTAAAAAAAGCATTACTGAACCTTTAACACATCAAATATGCACAATTAGGCAAATACACACTCAGGCAGTATCTTACACTGTGTCTGGTAGGCCTTCTGGGTGCAGAGTGTTAGAACTGGACACATCTGAGGGGGAGAAAAAGTGATTATATAAAGACACCGAAGCACAAATATTTGCACTGTGCAGCTGCAAAGCATGACAAATAACCGTTTCCTTCTCCAGCATCTGAACATCCTCCTCTGTTCCTGATCAACTCCAAATATTTGCCAGACATGCAATGACACAACTCACCAGCAGGAGGCATCACAAACCCAAGTTACAACATCAGACAAGATCATGCGAGCCCACGACAAAAGGCATGCAAACCACACTCAACTGCCTATATAAAGGAACAGATTGACCAAACATTCTAAAGTGGCTAACAGTGAATGGACAATGAATTGAAAAGAGTCATTTCATGAGATCGGTGCCAAACAGACTGCTAATTTGAGTTTTTCATGTCAAGAAATCAGTTTAATTATGTTTTTTTTTCTCGGTTTCCCACCTCAGCAGGCACTTTTACACCTGTTGTGCAAAATAACAATATAAATTACAGCCTCATCAGATGGAACTTGTGACAGGATGGGACATTTCAGGCTAAACTGCCTGCCCCGCTGACCATTATCAAGCTTAGACCTTCCAGCATCAGTTTCAACAGTAAATTACATGGCTTCTCTGTGAATATTGCAAGAAAATAACAATAAACATCTATTCTTAAATGTGTGTGAACTCTGATGAATTAAAAGGCCCATTTCTTTGTTGGTTTATGTACCAAAAACAGTCATAATTCATTTTTACATGATTTCCCAAACCCTCTTCATCTCTTAGAATCAAACAGGCCACTGAACCTTTAAGAACGATACATGTAAATGACCTGTTATGATGTTTTGGCTGGCTGTCTTGTTTTGTACCTCATTTAGAAAAAACACTCCTTATAATTTCAGAGTGAATGGGCGGAGCTGAACTGATGTAGGCTGAATAGGTGGATATTTGTAAATGAGTTTTGTGTGTCAGAGAAACAGTGAGTTCAGTTTTCATACATGGAGTGAATGGACTGGGGAGTTTTATTACTTCCAATTTACTGGGGAGTGAAATTGGAAGGTTTTTATCTTGGATGAGTAACAGTTAATAGAGGCTGCATCAGGTGAGCTAATGAGACACTAACACTAACCCGTACACTAGATGCTAATGGAGGTTGTCATCTTCTACATGTGGTCATTTCTCGTCAGTGGATGAGCATGATAGTCGGTCAGAGAAAGAGTAGTAGCAGTAGTAGTAGCCTAGTTAGCCTGGCCTTAGCAACACACCCATATTTGTAAGTATGTAGATTCTACTTCACTTCTATAAAACATCAGTGCCTTAACATGAGTGCGTTGCTAAGGCCAGGCTAACTAGGCAACTTCTACTACTGTCTACTACTCTTTCTCTGACCAACTATCACGCTCGTCCACTAACACCAACCGGTACAATGTTAGATGCTGATGAAGAGTTGTCATCTTCTATATGAGGTCATTTCTCGTCAGTGGACAAGTGTGATAGTTACATACTCTCAAATATGAGCAATTTGAAGTAACATTTTATTCTTGACTGTAAATATGTCTCATTGTGTGCTACAGGACTAGTAAGTACTGCTTTAAAAAAAAAGTAGATTTTTTTTGTAAAATGTCTCTCAACGATCGACTTTTTATTTACAAGGCTGAAGTCAGCTGGTCATTCGCCAGCTTCTTGTTCCAATTTTCCAGTTCTACCTTAAAAGGTGCAGCAGTTACATTCTGGCACCACAGGCACCATTTAAGGTGGAACTGGAAGAAGCTGGCGAATGAGCTGACTTCAGTTTTGCAACTTTTTAGTGTTTGACAGTTTCTGGTTGCAGATTAAACTCATTTATGCAAAGAAGTCTGTCCATTCGTCTCTAAATGATCAGTGTTTGTCTTAAGTCTTTCTTTTCCTTGCCATTTTGTTAGTTACTAGTTAGGTGAGACTGTTGTCTGCGTCGCTGTGATGACCAGCAGTCTGGTGCCAACCTTCAGGGTTAAAGGGTGAATTAAGCAGTTATACATCAACTCCAGCTTTTAAGAACATTTATTGTTAAAACTGTGTTGAACGATCAGCAGAGTTTTATTTTACCGCAAGCGAGGATTATTTTATTTTTATCTAACAATCTAATTCTGCTGTGGAGCCGCAACAGGGGAGTAAAAGAGCCGACCCTCTCACTATAGTAACGTAACACAACGTAATGTAACATAGCAAACCATTATGTAACGAAAATCCAAACAGTGATTTCAGTTAACCGAGTACTCGAGTACCTGTGCACATCCTCAATGTTCCTTAATTTTTTTTTTTAAATATCTTCTGCACTTTCAATTCAAAAAATGTACAGACTATGTTAATGATTAACTTTAAATGCAGATATTTAAGCTTGAAAAACACATTACTGTTTAACACAAGGCACTGGGCTCAAATGGCTCTTTTCATGAAATGATTCAATACCATGTAACAAACATCCTCATGTAAATGGCACAATTCTAACTAGTGTCCATTCACTTTCATTCAATGTTAGCAACACTAGCTTTTTTGACTGAACTATTCCTCTTTAAAGAATATATCAAAGCACATGAAGGAGTGACGGCGAGGGTCGAGACCCCAGGGGGGAAAAGTGGTCACAAGGCGTGAAAGTTTCTGGGCTTCTTGAACTCACCAGGGAAGATAAACTGTTGTCTATGCTGAAAGTAGCAGGCAGCTTTAGGGACGAGGAAAAAGGAGGAGAGAAATCAACAGGCAGGAAGATGACAAAGAAGAAAGTCAGGGGTTAAAACTGCAAGACTGAACCAAATGCCCACAGCAACTGTATCAGAAATGTATGTTAGTACGTTACAAGTGGAACAAGAGGGAAATATTTTGAAGTGGTCAGAATTAAGTGTTGGTAATTCAGCAGAAGACATGAGTATTTTTGTAGTGGTGAGTGTGAAGAGTGTGCAAATGAAAATGCAATAAAGCATAAATAACTGGTAAAACTTTGATGCTATAGAAATGTCCGAGTTGCCATACTGTTTGTATAGTGACCCTTAGAAGTCCCAGCGATAAAACCATGTTGTAATTTTATATTAATTATTTCCCATCTCACTGAAACAAACAGAGACATCCTGAACACGCAGGTACTAAACTTTCAGTTCACACCACATTTGTGTCTGGAACTAAAAGAGTAGATACTCTACTATGGTTTATATCTGAATTTACTGTTTGACATTATTTGTGAATGTAATTAATTATATAACTACATAAATATGGAATTATATTCAAATAAGTATGTAATGTAAATTGAGTATTGCGAAACAACAGCCATAACTCTAGACTGGAAGGGTTAAGCAGAGTGACCCTGTCATGTGTTGTTACGAACCATGACCAGACACTCACCTGGAAAGTGGAAGCGGTTGTCGCGGTGACCCTTGGGAGAGGGGTTGGGGGGTGGGGTGGCGCTGGGTGGGTTGCTCTGCTGGAAGGGGGCGGGAGAGGAGGGGGTGGAGGAGGTGGTGGAGGAGGGATTACTGCTGGAGTCCAGCTGATTCAGCACAGGTGGATGATCCTTGGAGAGATAGAAAGAAAGAGGATATAGGAGTTAAGGCTTCTAAGTTTATTGCTGGGCTGGACAATATGGTCAAAAATCTTATCACAATCTATTTTCCATATGATTCGGTATTGATGATTGATAATTAGGTGCATTTTCTAATGCACAGTGCGCAGCCTTATTTTGTACACAAAATGAATTATCAAGACAAAATAATCAGGCCTTTTTCACTCTGCTCAACATCAACTCTGAAATAGCTGGCCAGCTAACTGTCCCACAGAATACTGGTGCTGTGAGTGAACAGCTAGACTTCTTCTCTCTCCCTGTCTAAAGCACTATTCGGATGAGATTACGTTTACATTCGGGGGGTGAGGGGTACAGTAAATTTTACTGGCATGACTTTAGTCCCATTCGAATGTGCCATGTCAGTCATTTTTACAGACTGTGCACTGCTGTGTTGGTAAAGATTCTGGTGCCTTTTATCTTCCATAAAATGAACAATAGAAATAACGTCCGGTTATATTAATCCCGTGCAAATTAACAAGAAAAATGCTATCATATGCTGTAGAAAACGAGTTTCTAAGGTATGGATGTGGACATGCATGCAGTCTAAGAAGCATTTACTTCAGTCCTCTGAGGCTAAAATCAAGGCAATATGCAACTTCACTGTAATGCACAACTCTGAACATGTAAAAAGTCTGATTTTATGTGATAAAGTTGATTGATTGATGTGAATTCCCAAGCTAATGGTGATGCTAATGAAGCACTGCATTCACTTAAGACAGCATGGTAAATGGTAAAGGTAGACGGCATACTGACCAACTGTTTATTAATTGTTTATGTTAAAATTGTAAAATTTTCTGGAGTAAATCGAGTAGCCACTCCCATCTCTGTTGTTTATACTGAGATTTCTTATTCTGTACGAACTGGTCATAAACATCATAGACATCTTTTGGAAAACTGGTATTACCCCATTATAAAGTCCAGAAATGTTCAGAGTGGTGGTGATAGGAACCAGACGTCTGAAGAGTTTAATGCCTCACAGAAAGTTATTACATGAAGTGGATACTAATATGTTGCTGAGAAATTGTTTTTTAAGAAGGTTTTGGACTAAGAAGTATTTTTTCAAATCTATTCATTCGGAGTTACATGCAGGACGCCAAATATCCCTGAAAAAAGCTTATTTTCCCAGACGTACCTGATTTCAGCATTTTCAACATTACATATAAACCCAGAAGACTGTTGTAGGTTCACTGGCTGCTTTGAACAGTAAATAAAGCGGCCATATTTGTATTGTAGACATTGTGAGCCCTGGTTCCTATCACCACCACTGTAAAGAACTTAGCTTTTCTACAGTGAACCAAAAAAGCTTTTCTACAATTTTACATTTTAAATTACCCTGAATGACTTTACATCTCAACAAATGAATTATGCAGGAGAGTTTTAAAGTCTAGTGGAATTCCCCTTTAAGCATGCACTTTCAATATCCAAAAAATATTTGATTTGGATAAATACAGGTGTGGTTTTACCAGACTTACGCCCACATTACAGGATTTTTCAAAAATCCTATTTAATATTGACATACATAATCCGGATAATAATATAATAATACAGAGTCCACTGATTGGAGGAATGATTCCATTCAATTTTTGTCTTCAGTTATCACAGTTTGCAACCTTGTGAAGGCAAGAATCACAAAGTGTTCACCTGCCTTTAGTCATAATACGTCGCTGTAATTTGCTTTTGGAGAAAAGAAGAAAGTAACAGCTGCTGTCTGGGTCCAGTCTGAAGTGATTATTGCTTTAGCCTATCATAAAGGTCACTACCTTCTTGGTTATTGCCTTTGGTAAGGTGCCAAACTGCGGAGCCTCGGCCGGGCGGTCCACGGGGTTGTTGATGTCCGACGGCACAGACTCCGTCCTCCGGATCTTTGTGACTGAGAGAGAGAGAAGAGTGGAGGAATATAAGACCGAACCTTTTCAAGGACTCCCATTTACGTGCTCTGAATAGAGAATGAACAGAGCACTTACTGGGGAGGAATGATATTCTGCAGGAAGGAGCTTCTTTCGTACATTTATTGTGACACTTTAACCTGCGGAGGTGAAAGCAGCCATTAATACACCCACAAGCTGCTCACTTGTTCTGTAACTGAAGTCTTCATTTAGCGTCTACGCACTCCACCTTTAGTAACCCACCTGCAGTGTTTGCACTTCACTCCGAAGATCATGTTCTTCTGACACACTTGACACGTCTGTGATAGCCAGGACTTGGTGGAGAACCTGAAAATGCCACATATAAAGAAACTAATTTTTCAGAAAATTGCACAGAAGCCGCAACAGCTAAGTATAATATCCACACTTTGCATTTATTAGAGGTTCAATTCTTTTCAGGAGACTTTCGTTCAGTTTTTCAAAGAAATCTGCAGGGATATTTTTCCACATCTTCAAAGTTCAGTCTTAGAAGTTGGTTGTATTTTCTGCTTCTCATGATCCAAATAATCCTAAACACATTCAGTGATGTTGAGGCCTGGACACTGTCCATTATTCTGAGAACAGCAACAGCTTCTTGTGTTTGATTTACAAATGTTCTCCTGAAAAATGAATAACCTGTTGTGCCATGCACCCGTCCCCTGGACCCCAGTGACAGCCGGCGAGAGCCAGCAGGAAGGCAGGGCACGAATTCCCAGCAGGGAGGAGGATGTCAGCGTCGGAGAGCGGACGACGACAGCCACGAGCGATGGCGGAACACGAGTCCCGAACTCCTTTTCCGTATTGAGGCCGCTGGACTACACCTTACGTTCGACCCAGACGGCCGAGATGCGGAGCAGGGGGCGGTGACGGGGAGGCGGAGCAACAAGCTCTCTGTCTCTCTTGGCTCAGGTGCTCATGCTGCCCTTAATGACAGCCAGCCAGATCAGCATCTCGGCCGCCTGGGTCGAACTGTGAGGTGTAGTCTAGCGGCCCTGATGTGGAACAGGAGGCGGGGCCAGGGCGGCGGAGTTCGGGACTTGCATCCTGCCTTCGTGCCTCTTGTCATCGTCATCCTCTCTCTGGCGGCTGACGTCCTCCTCCTGCCGTCACTCGCATCCCTCAGCGGTGTTCAGGATTCCTGCCGGCTCTTGCGGCTGTCCTCGGAGCCCGGGGGATGGGTGCATGGCACACTTGTACTTGAAATAAAATAAATAAATAAATAATAAACTGTGGTCTCTGGCACAGCACTGTATATACACTCACCCTCCACTTAATTAGAAACACAGACCTTGTACTTCCACCGACTGGCCACTTTATTAGAACCGTCGTATGTGGCAAGTACCCTCTACCTTATTCATCACTGGTCAGTTTCTGACCACAGGAGCGGCTCTGTGGTCCAAAACTGGCGATTGAGAAAGAGCTAGAGAATAGCTAATACAATTTGTGCATCACCAGATTGGCTACAGTCAAACTGTACATCACCAAGGTGAAGGCGTTTCTAATAAAGTGGACAGTGGGTGCACAAACTATAGTGTTGACAATTTGAATTTGATTTTGTGTGTAAGAGGTGGAGCCACTGTAGAAGGGGGGGGGGTTACCTGTGAGTGACAGCCAGGCCAATGTCCCTCCTCACAGCCTGAGGAGAGCTGCGATGGACTGTGATGTTATCTGCGTGCGGAAGACAGTGTGACAGAGAGAGAGAGAGAGAGAGAGAGAGAGAGAGAGAGAGAGAGAGAGAGAGAGAGAGAGACACACATAATCAAATACTTCTCCCATTCCCAGACACACAAAGCAGGCTTTGAGGGAATATTGCATGACTCTCTGGACAGCCCGAGATAAGAGAAAGTTTCCTCTGAATGGAAACATGAGGTCAGAGAACCTCCCCACATTCTTCTCCACTCTGGTCAAGGCTTCGACACACAGTGATGCAACCACAAAGCTCTGGCGTACGGGAAGAGAAGCTGCGATAACCCCTCCACAGTCAACAAGTGCAAACATTCGGATCTGTTTTCATTCGGAAAGCTTGATCCCCACCAGAGTTAATCATTAACGTTAACAGATTCTCACTTACACATAAGATAAACATTCAGATGAACCTAGGATCTGTGAGAACCGGTAGAGTTTATGAGCAAAGTTAAAGCGGAATTGAAGTCAAATTAGCTAAACTGAATTATAGAGGCACAGTTTCTCAAAGCACAGCGGTGCTAAGATCATGTTAGGCGCTCATCGCCCAGAAAAAAAAACAAAAAAAAAACAAGTATCTCAATTTTTTTCGATTTGTTTTTTTTCTGCATCAGAGCAGCTTCTGTTTATATCGTGTTAAAATATCTTGATAAATGGACCAGTGTAAGTGCTCCAAAACGGCTTGGAACAAAATCTCTTTATATTAACTAACATTAAAGGTATAGAATGTTTTGCCTTCTCTAAAATTAGTATTTTTGGAGAAAATTGTTTTTTACATCTTTGTGCCAATATAGAGCATGAAGTCACTTTAGTGAAGCCTTTTTAATGACAACAAAAGACTCACAGTTCTGTCTAAGCATATGTAATATGCCTCAGCTTTGGGCACAGTGTGGGCAAGTGTGTGACCCCTGATGTAAACAAAAGGCTCAGCTCTGTATAAAATGATCTGCATATAATATATCATATCGAATATAATCTTGTTCTGAGATGTTTCCACTAACAGACTCTCTGCTAACTGTCATGCTGGTTTATGCTGAAAAGGAATGGCTAGACTTCTTCTCCCTCACTGTCCAGCAAGTAAAATGTGTCAGGCTCGGGTCAGACTCAAATTTCACGTTTTAGCTCTCACAGCTGATTAAAACACCTTAAAACTGTTTTAATCTGGCATGCCGGAGTCTCACGATTGTGAGAAAGTGGATGCACAGGAAATAAAACAGCGAAACTGATTCATTAATCTTTTTATATCAGAACTGCAAAGCATGTGAACAGCGTGTTATAGAAAGTTAAAGTTTATCCGGACTAAAAATGTTTCAAATGTTGTTTGAAAGCACTACTTTACTCTGGATTGCTGATTATTTGATCATATTATTATTTTTTTAAACTTATTTAATTTTTTATTTATATTTTACTATGGTGACTATTATATTTGCTAAATGGTAATTGAACCAGCACTAGCGTAAAAAACGTCGGGTTTGATTTGGCCCTTTGATGCTCTGGTAAAAAGCACACATCGCCACCAAAGGACCAACTGTTCAAAGTTCAAGTCCTTGCTAGTTATATCAAGGAACAAAACAGCATAATCATTTTTATAGAACGGATGTTGCTGATTCTAAAGTCTGATTGGCTGAGCCTAGCTCAAAGCCGAATACTCACTGTACACAGATACAACTGCACACATCAATTGAATTCTGTCAATCACTGACTCACTTTGGTCATTAAGAAACTGTGCGGTTCATGTAATCCTTGACCGCAATGCTGCTTGGCAACCAGAGCTTACTGTTAACAAGCTACAGTGCTTGGCTGTGCACTCTCATTATTATTCATTATTACATTCACAGTGTGTCCAGCTGGGACACTGCATCACTGTAACACACAGCCTTTATGACTTATCGCTTTAATCGAAAATACCTCAGAACCTCAGACGTGCATTACCAATAAAAAAAAATATGACTTTGATCAGTTTTATCAGTTTTACTTCTACTGTGAGAGCGTGTGAGACTCACTCCTCAGGCCGCTGTGCTCCTCCAGCAGTGTGGGCGTGCCGGGCAGGGTGTAGGGGGCGGTGGCAGGAGCTGCCCCAGGCGTCCGGGCGGACAGCAGCGGAGAGCGAGACGGTGAATCTTCGCAGCCGTTGCCGTTAATCTGGACGTTCAGAAACAGCTTGTTCTTCTTCCCACACCTAGGGACACACATAGGTCAGTCAGCAGGGTCACCGCAAAACCAGGAACACAAAGCCGGATGAGGGATTTAGACAGTCCGCTGCCAAAAGATGGCCTGGGAATCCAAAAAATCAGCCCCACGCTCAAAGAAAGCTGAGTAATGCCAAACACACAGTAAACCAGAGCAAAAAACGTAACATGACGCTGCTGCCGGGATGAAAACTGTGACCTTTTTAGGAGAAGAACGACAGAAACCTACCGCAGTTACTGTATCAATCACATGCACAATGCCTACATATACTGACTGTGCATCGTGTCTTAAACCAGGGCACCCAAACTTCTACATACAATCCATTCCTTACGCTTTTACACTGTTTCACAAGTCAAGTCAAGACTCAAACCTGCCGATACAGAATGAAAAACGAAACAAGCTATTCAATTAGTTATGTAATTATGCAAGTATTCATGATGTAGTAGAGAAGAATGACAATAATAAGAGAGAGGTCCTCGGGCCTGCCTTTGGCTATAATTCACTTTAAACAGCTTAAAAATCTCTGTAGGTACAGTTAGTGTTGCATCGATACTGATACTGTATCAGTATCAGCGCCGATACCAGGACTTAAACGAGTATCGGTATTGGTGATGGGGATACCGATACCTAAGACTGGCACTACGAAGCAATTTCTGACACGTGTGCTGATGCGTAAACACCACAGATTTATCTGTACACTGTTCAGTTCTGTTTTTAACTGTTTTACACAATAATGATATTTTACATTTACTTAAGTTGTTAAAAATGGTTCTTATTACTAAATATATAGTGCTAAATACTAAATATATACAGTAAATAAACAAAAATAAGTTTCCTTAAGCATCTAATAAATATAATTCAACAAGTAAATGCCTTCTAGCCAAGCTGTGTTTTATTTGTGACACAGAACAAATTTTACCAAACTAAAATATTTTAAAAATGTGATTGAATGAATATCAGGACTTATAGGTGAGTTAGGTTAGACAGAGTTAGTACCGGTATTGGTATACCCTACCCCTAGACGTGAACGCACAAAACGGAGGCGTAAGGGCTAAGTGGTTGGGGCAGGGGTGAAATGGGATTGGGCCTTGCTTTCAGTTTTTCAAAGAAATCTGCAAGGATGTTTTTCCACACCTCCATAGTTCAGTCTTAGAAGTTGGTTGCATTTCCTCACACATTCAGAGATGCTGAGGTCTGGACTGGATTTTGCACAGTACTGTGCATTTAAATATTATTTCAAACTGACAATAGTACCTGTGGCTTTCTAAGGGTTGACAGGAAGAGAGTGAATGGAGAATGGAGTGGGGGTATTGGGGGGGTGTATGGGGTAATCTCAGGACAGGGGATCAAGTCATGGACCAGAGAGCCTGTGAATTTTAGCCTTGACCGGAATGCGGCACACCAGCTAGAAAAAAAGCCAAAGGCTTAGGGCTCAAAAGTGTGACCCTCCATCATCACTCACGCAACACATGAGTGTGTGTGTGTGTGTGTGTGTGTGTGTGGTGACACTGATTTGCACTCTTTTGGACATCAGGCCTTGGAAGTGTATCCTGTTGTGACATTACTCATAATCTCTGAGAAATCTGTAGAGGATTAGCTGGGACCATCCACATAAACACCACAAATACATGATCTCTCTCTCTCTCTCTCTCTCTCTCTCTCTCTCTCTCTCTCTCTCTCTCTCTCTCTCTCTCTCTCTCTCTCTCTCTCTCTCAGAGCGTGATGGTGTGGCGGGTAGGAAGTGTGCCCTATTTCCAGTTGGGTCGTGGGATGCAGCACTAAGCAGAAGGGGAGTCGCTGCCCACACACTTGGCTTTAGGCCTCAAACCAAGGTTACCAGATTGATCCAGATCATTTTTCCTAATGAGAAACAGCAACACAAAGCATTTGAATGGCTCAGAAAGGTGGTCAGGTCAATGGAGATGTCCCATCTAATTTACTCAGAACTCTTCAGAACATACATACCGTAAGTCAGATCACCCGTCATTCCCTACATTTTCAGTCAAAACGGCCATTTAGTACAAGTTGTTAATTTTTCAGAAGATATTTTTGAGGGGAATAAATGTATGATGGGACTAACAACATGACCTGGTAGACCACCAGAACTGTCCCCATCAGATAAACATCACTTAAAGCTTTCATCTTTGACAGAGAGGAGAAAATCAAGCTCCACTCTTGATTCAGATCTGAAAATCCACAGTCCATCCTTCCACTGTGAGAAGACGACTCAGCGCTATGGGTCTGAAAGGATGTGTAGCTGTCAAGAAGCCTCACTGAGAAAAGGAGACGGACACATCAAACAAAAAAGCTGAACAATGGACTGACCACCCCAGAGTCCAGACCTCAACACCGCTGAATGTGTTTGGGATTACCTGGATCCTGAAGTGCAACCAACTTCTAAGACTGAACTTTGGAGGTGTGGAAAAATATCTCTGCAGATTTCTTTGAAAAACTGAATCGAGTCTCCTGAAAAGAATGGAACCTGTAATAAAGGTGAACAGTGGAAACACTAAATACTGAAAAATGCTAAATGTAGTTTGTGAAGCTTCTGTGTAATTTTCTGTTAAATATATGATTTCTGCATTTATTCCTAATGCTGAATAACTATAAATAAAATAACTAACTTGCACTTAACAGCTGCTCTGACTGGAAATTAAATAAATGAGAGTTTGTTCTCAGAATTTTAACATAACTGTACATTTTTTGTTCATTGTTATTGCCATGTTGGCCTTTGCAGTACTGATATCACAGAGGGCTACAATATGCAAATGAGCCTTCTAATTAATCGCAATGTTTTTTAATGTATACTGTCAATGTCCTGACCAATCACAGGAGTGTTTTTGTGGGTATTAAGCCATGATGTAATTTAAAAAGTAAACATATTTGGTCAAATTATTTAACAATGTCACAATACTGACTTACCACTGAGTTTTAATACACTGTAAGGCATATCGCAATATAATATGTAGCAACAGAATTGCAATACTAGTATTTTAACCACACTGTGCAGCCCAAACACATTTACTTGATTAAAATGTACAAACTTTACACATGATTTGCTGTGTAAAACCTGTTTTTTGGTAAGAACTATATTTTGTTCATGCAGAAATTATACACATTTAAATCAAGCAAACACAATGCATCACTTTTATCAGGGCATTAGTTTCATAGTAAACTGAGTAGTTACTGAATAATAAGCCTTAAGTTTAATAACCAAAACATTGGGGTAGAGTTAAACCAGAACAGGAAGTAACCTACTTGCTGGTGGGTGGGTCCTCGATGCGGTTGCCCAGCTGGCTCTCGTGGCTCTTGCTGCGGGTGAGGGTGATGTTGGGCAGCAGGTGGAGGACTTTGCGAGACGGTGGAGGGGGCGTGCATGGCGGTTTTAGGCGGTGCCTCCTCTTGGAGGGCGGGGTGATGGGCGGGGTGGAGGTGTGGCCATGGAGACGAACCGGCCGGGATGAGTAGTAGGGGCTTGGGTCCGTCAGGCTGTCAGCGTAACCATGAGAGATGAGGGCCTCGCCGGGGGGGAGAATGTGGCGTGGGTGGGGACAGGGGGCCAGGGGAGTGGAGGGCGTGGCCGGGGGCCGGGCGAGGGGGGAGGGGCTGTGCGGGCGCACAGGCCCACCCAGCAAGGGAAGCTGATCAACTGGGGTCAGGCCACCGCTGTCCCGCCTGGTGGGCTCTGAGAACCAGCAACCCCCATCCTCTTTAAACTCTCCTGTGGATGAACAAGGTCAGGAACAGTCACTAAAATCTTTAGGTCTCAGTTTCCAAGACCCAGGCTAAGTCTAAGTCTAGCCTAAGCATAGTGAATCATTGGCACTGCAATTTAAGACTGGGCTTAATCATAGTAGCTTTCATAGTAGTTGCTGAATAATTAATAGTAGTTTCCTTAAATAATAAGGATTAAAGACTACATAATAAGCAGTGAACTGAAAATGAGCAGCACCCCATCAAAGCACAAATCTGCAGCTCAGTTAATTCAATTTCATTTAACATGACTAATCATTCAATATGCCTACAGGCAGCTATCAGCAACAAGGGAGCCTTCCATCTAAAACATTTCAGAGTAGGGGCTATGTAACTGTTCACTTTTACTAGTCGACTAGTTGCCAATTACAGTCATATGCAGAAATTTGAAACCCCCAGTCAAATTACAATACTTGCTTTGTTGATTTTCTACATGAAAATAAGTCAACATATTCTCTACAGGGAACAATATAAAATGTGCCATAACTTTTGCAGAAGCCATATTTTACCCCCCCTCCCCAGTATGTTAAATTCAGCAAATAAACAGTGATTCTGCATGCAGTATCCACTGTAAGGGATGTGTACTAACTTTAGAAAATCAACAAATCAAGCATGTCATTTGACCATGGGTGCCAAAACATTTGCATACGATCATATCATAGTACAAGAATGGCCCGTATAAAAAAGCATTTCAAAGCATGCTACTAGCAACCAGTGGTGAAATGCACAATACATAACTTGAAAACGTTACTTTCAGATTTCAAGTTGCTCCAACATGATCAAAGTATCCTTTTTTGTTAGGTATGTCTCCCCATCACACAATGCTACCAAGCTAGGAGGGTGAAAACTAGCCTGAGCTTCCTCCAAGACACATGAAGCGCCACCACACCTTTTTAAACTACCGTTAACTCAATGACAGCTCAACACGCTTGGAGGAGAACACTAACTGTTCAGTAACATCAGACACCAGCATTGGCTAGTATCATGTTGAGTGATGGGAGGAAAAGCAGGGCATCACCAGACGACAGGGCCAACACTTACGCCCAATCCCATTTGACTCCTTGCCTCTACCACATAGCTTTACCCCTCCGTTTTGCGAGTTCACACAAGAGTAGGGTGTCCCGATTTTGGTTGGGATAGAGGGGTAGGGCGAAGTGTTAGGGCTTCGTCACCCTCCAAACAGAGGTTTTTCAGAGGTTCACTCCAAACAGAGTGGTATGAGAAATCAACAGAATCCATGTCATCCATGTTGTACACGCTAGCTAGCATGTCATGTGGCTAGGCTAACTATAACAAAACTTGTCTGCAGTCTATCCTACATGCCACGAAACCAATCCACCGGCGTTCCCAGGCATAGCTTCGTTTTCCAACATTTCATCAATTAGCTGCAGACAACTGCAAAAGGATGCCTATTGGTATTTTGGAAATGTCCGACAAACCCCGTCACGTCTGTTTCAACCACTACCCCTTGTCACTCAGTTCCAAGGGAAGGGTGACACTCGTAAAGGTAAAAATTGGGATTGGGCCTTAGACAGATGCACTACTTGGTAGCTAGTGTTTTGATGACAGACGGTTAGCATAGACTCACTCGAAACACTGGCACTGCAAATATTACAAGTAGCTGTTTTAACTTTAATATAAATCTACTTTGGATGATTAATTATTTTTAAATTTAGCCATTAATTCTGCCCGCTAGTTAGCCCTCCTTCTATCACACACATGCTACCAAACCTGGGAGGGTGAAGGCTAGAACATTCTTCCTCTGAGACATGTGAACCTTACTATCATACCGCTAATGAAACATCACTGGACAGCGCAACACTATTGGAGGGGAACACTAACTGCCAATTTTGTTACCTCAGCTAGTGGACACTGGGGTTGGCTACCATCAAGTGAATGGGGGGAAATTGAGGGCCATTCTAAGTCCAGAGAGAGCGACGACAGTTATGCTCTCTTGGATGCCCAGCCACGGATGGCTGTGGCATCACTGGGGTTTGTACTTGCAATCTCCCCAGATTATCGATAACGATAGCTTCTGAAAATGTGCCTCAGTTTATTTGCAGTCTGTCTATGTCATCTCTCTAACAGTGGTTCGAATATAGCGTGTTATGGTAAAACAGCCTTAACAGTGAATCAAAATTGCGGCTTAATATGGCTGAGAGCATTCCATTAAAATACACCTCGATCGGCTCCAATACAGATCGTTCAGAATGACATCCCTATTGGCTGCTCAGTGCAAACCCTATTTCAAAGCTATCCGATGATGAATGTAAGTACTGTGGCTATTCTGAGCTGTCTGGCAGACCAGACGAGACCTTCTTATTACCGCACCGGATTCAGTGGCACTCTTTAAGCAGGAGAGGGCAGCGCTGAGCCGGGCGCACTCCTCTGCACTGGAGCCCAGCCTCCTCATGGTCTCTCGCACCTGAGCTCCAGGCATCTGCAGCAAGGCATCCAACGACAACTTCACGGGCACCGCCTACGCAAAGACACACAGAGAGAACAGAACAGACAGCAAGCCTGGTGAGAGGATACAGTACACACACACATGGCTCTAACACTGAGTGAACAAATCTGGTACACAAATACACCGATCAGGCATAACATTATGACCACCTCCTTGTTTCTACGCTCATTGTCCATTTTATCAGCTCCACTTACTGTATAGGTGCACTTTGTAGTTCTACAGTTACAGACTGTAGTCCATCTGTTTCTCTGCATACTTTGTTAGCTCACTTTTACCCTTTTCTTCAGTGGTCAGGACCCCCATGGACCCTCACACAGAAGGTACTATTTGGGTGGTGGATCATTCTCAGCACTGCAGTAACACTGACGTGGTTCTGGTGTGTTAGTGTGTGTTGTGCTGGCCTGAGTGGATCAGACACAGCAGTGCTGCTGGAGTTTTTAAACACCTCAGTGTCACTGCTGGACTAAGAATAGTCCACCAACCAAAAATATCCAGCCAACAGCGTCCTGTGACCACTGATGAAGGGCTAGAGGATGACCAACACAAACTGTGCTGACACACATGAGCTGCTGTCTCTGACATCTACAAGGTGGTCCCACAAGGTAACAGAATGGAGCGAGTGGACACAGTGTTTAAAAACTCCAGTCTGATCCACTCGTACCAGCACAACACACCAGCACCACGTCAGTGTTACTGCAGTGCTGAGAATGATCCACCCAAATAGTACCTGCTCTGTGAGGGTCCATAGGGGTCCTGACCACTGAAGAACAGGGTAAAAGGGGGCTAACAAAGTATGCAGAGAAACAGATGGACTACAGTCTGTAACTGTAGAACTACAAAGTGCACCTATATAGTAAGTGGAGCTGATAAAATGGACAATGAGCGTAGAAACAATTAGGTGGTCATAATGTTATGCCTGATCAGTGTATATATATAAAAATGGTGGCAGTCTATTTTTTCACAGTTCATTGTCAGTTACACTGAGGACGTGTTGATAGTCTGATTAAGCTGGTTTTGGCTTCTTTTCCAATGTAACACTGGAACCCTTACAACCTGCGCTTAGCACAGTCTCCTTCATTTAGCTAACTGCGCTCAGGGCCGCAGTGCTGTTTGGTGGGATGGCTTAATGACGTAGCTATTCGTTGCATGGTCTTACATTTACGTCACTTTTGCACCACCTCATCCTGTTTATTTCAAAACCGAAAACACTCAAATAAAAACTTTAGTTTACAATTTAAAGTTTTACAATCAGTGTCAGCTCTGCTAGAAAAAACCAGCACAGACTAGCACCAGTGAAACCAGCATATGTTGAGTTTTAGATGCTGGTGTGCTGGTCGACTAACAGGACCATGCTGGGTGACCAGCTAAACCAGAACCAGACCAACATGCAGTGCATGCTGGTGCTGTTTTTTAGCAGGGAAACAAATAATCTAAAAATTGCTCAATGTTAAACGGTGCTGGTAACCAGGAGAGAACAGCTGGAAAGCATTAGCATAGCTAGCTTGCTAAAAGCGTTGCTCAACAGAGAACAGGTTCTATTCTGGCTAACCAAAGCTACACTGACACAGGTTTAGATGATAATCACTCAAGTCTGAGGGAGCAAAGTCGAGCGACTGGTGGAACAAAAAGACAAAATGATGGTGTTTGGATCTGCAGCCTTCCAGCCAGGTATACGCTAGTTTAGTTAGCAGGCTAAAATGCCACACGCCATCCCTGCTGAAAAAGTAGTGTGTAATGGTATTTTGTGTCTAAGTGTAAGAGATTCTAATGGTTTATCAGGTGCTCTGGAACTGATGTAGGATCAGTACAGGCCAGGTTACAGCTAACTGACGCTAAAACAAGTTTAAAGGATGTACAGACTCATATCTGAGAGCGCACAATCAAGCGCCAGGTGGGATCAACTGTGTTCTGTGGTGTGAGCTGTTAGCCTGTTAGCATACATACAGCAAACAATTCTCTCATCTTCAGTTTTAGAACATTTAGCATACGCTAGCATAAACACAGCAAGTCAATCCCTCATGTTCAGTTTTATAGCATTTAGCAAATTTTCAGTGTCAAAATCTCCAAAATGGTAACTGTACAGAAGAAAAAATGTAAGATTTTATTCCAACCAGTTTTTGATTCGCCATGAAATTTTCACACAATGTAGCGTGGAGATACGTTCGCCATGAAATTTTCACACAATGTAGCGTGTGAGATACGTTCGCCATGAAATTTTCACACAATGTAGCGTGTGAGATAAAACGCACTGAGATAAAACGCACTGTCACTACTCGATTTGAACCGGACACCCGATTTGGACTATGCATGCGCGAATATGAATGTCAACCAACTTGATTTGGACTATGCATGTGTAGGTATTCGTTAAATGATAACGGAAATGACAAACCTTTGTTGCACATGCGTAGTTCAAAAGGGGTTTCCGGTTCAAATCCAGTAGTTATAGGCACCAATGTAAACTGTCGTAGCAGAATATAGACAGGCAAGCCATCCCCACCTACTCACACCCTGATGGCCATTGTTTTCCTTGAGAGTCCTAATCCAAATGAATTTCACCATCTCTCCTGCTCTCATCTCTCCCTCTGCAAATAGCCAGGGCACGTGACCTCTTAGACTAATTAAGCCCAGCAGATGATCCGATTACCTAATTACGGACCTGTATGATTGGATGGAGTGAGAGGCAGTCGCGGTAAAGCTCACCAAGCTTGGGCTCTATTATAACACCGTCTGGCTCCCATTGGAGTTCGTCTGCAGCCACAAAATGCACCTTTAACGTCCTTTACTTTTAACTAAGAGTAAGCTTTTGCTTCAGGAATGAAATGAAAGCTACATTACCCTCCAGATGATCAGGATACTGTGTGCCTGAATTACGTTTCTCAGTAACACTTCTGCTGACTAATTTACTGTCAAAGCCGTTCTCACTGCAGGTTTTTGGCAGAGTTGTCCCTTACAGAGGAAGTAGTACTTAGAGATGGTTGTGATGGTCTGAGAGATGTGTTAATCTTTATTTTGCAAATGGTCAATTCTCTTTAACCATTACAAGTATAGGTGGGCAATATGACAACATTTCACCATCATAATTAATTACGTCACAATATGCTTTTCTGAATATATTGTGGATACTGTCAGTACTTAAAGTACACGGATTACCTACTTTTCTTTAAAAAACAGGTTTATTATTATTATTATGGCGGCACGGTGGCGCAGTGGGTAGCGCTGTCGCCTCACAGCAAGAATGGCCTGGGTTCGATTCCTGGCCGGGCGACCAGTGTGGATCTGTGTGGAGTTTGCCTGTTCTCCCCGTGTCTGTGTGGGTTTCCTCCGGGTACTCCGGTTTCCTCCCACAGTCCAAAAAACATGCAGTCAGGCTGACTGGACATGCTAAATTGCCCCTAGGTGTGTGTGTGTGTGTGAATGTGAATGTGTATGTCTGTCTGTCTGTCTGCCCTGCGATGGACTGGCGACCTGTCCAGGGTGCATCCTGCCTTCTGCCCAATGGCAGCTGGGATAGGCTCCAGCACCCCACTGCGACCCAGAAGGATAAGCGGTTTAGATGATGTATGTATTATTATTATTATTGTAGTAATTGTTACATGTGGTACTACAGGTTTACCTAGTGGCAGTGGTGATAACTGTGATTTGTAAGTAGGGGAGGGCGATATAGCAAAAATATTATATCATGATACTTCAAGACATTTTCACAACACACAATATGCATCACACAATTTAGGTGTGAGTGTGTGTGAATGTACATGTCTGTGTGTCTGCCCTATGATGGACTGGCGACCTGTCCAGCGTGTTTCCTGCCTTCCGCCCAATGACCGCTGGGATAGGCTCAGTTGTGTCGTGTTGAGTTGTACTGATTTTATGGATTTTAACTACACCCATAGGGCCTATGACCAACTGCAGCTCCAAGGCCCACTAGCAGGTTGAAGTGCCCCTTCTCATAGCTCATTGAAATCACTTGACAATACATTATTTATAAGTTATTTATTATCACTTTCATTATGTAATAACTTTTAAATAGTACAGTAAAGCTATTAAATTATAACTCCAGGGTTAAACATTCTTCTTTATGAGGCCTCTGGCGTGCCTTTATCTCTAATTTCAAACAGTTTAAGACAACATCTCTGAAGGATATAGAATTGCACTGCATGTTTCAAAATCTCCCGTAAGGCCTTGATGTTTTCCATTGATGCCACACCTTAGCCCCTGGCTGTAAGATGAACAACCCAAATGCAGCAGAAGCAGAAGGCAGGCGTGCTCTGGGGGAGAGGTGGGGACGACACGGCGCGCAAAAACCACAAAACTTACAACTGCAAGCAGATGGTTAGCTTTAATCATTGACGGTTTGGGTTGGCAGCGCCAAAAGGAGCGAGTATCCAGGTGTTACTGGGTGCGCGAGAGTGTGCGTACATGAAACGTCACAAAGAGCATGTGTGTGATACAACAGCCATGAGTCTGCCAGTCAACACGTCTCTATGACGTGATCACATGACAAGGACTAGACAGGAGGTGCGGCACAAACAGGAGAATGGCCCAGTCTACACTTGCATTTGGCAGTGAACTTACGTTTATTTCAATGGAATTCATCATTTCATGTCACAAACTTCCAGAGTGAACGGACTTTTCATGTGACAAATTCGACCAATAGCTCTAAGAATAGGGCTGTGTTGACCTCTGAAGCGGTGGGGGTTCATACAGCAGCACTGAATATCCAAAATGGATTAGTTGTAGCAGTATTTAGCCACAAACCCTTTAACGCTTCTTCCCCATTGGCTATAAATAAACACATAAAACTGTATGAAGCGCAGTAAGACAGGAGATTGTATTATCATCTTTACTTTTGTGGTTTTACCGTTTGTGGCAGACGACTTAGCCAGCTTGCTAACTGCAATGTAAGCTTGTTGGTTCACCCCACTGCTACCAACCACGCCCGTTATCTACACATTTTACGCTACAGACCAGTGTGCAGTACTGTACTCTCATGTGTCCACTTTTGTGTGGCTACTGTTTAAGGTTAGTGAGCTTGCATGGAGGATTTTTTTTTTTTTTGCGACTTATTACTGGCTCTCATTCCAATGTGCCACAATAAGCCTCAATGTATTCAAACAAGCAAATTCCCAACAGGCTCCCAAAAGCATCCAGGGAATACAGAAGCCCAGTTGAGATAAGAGACAGCTTTCAGACGGGAATCATTATACACTACTGCATACTGCTCATTGGAGTTAACCAGAGATATTATAAAGGAGGAGACTGGTCACTGGTTAATATGTGAATGGGAAAGCTTGTAACATGCAACACGGCGTCTGTTTGTGGAGAAAGTCCTGCCCTTCAGTAAAAAGAGCCAATCCGCTTGATGGTCATGCTGTAAGTAGGAAAAGCCCACCTCACTGTGAAGATCTGCTCAAGCAGAACAACCCAAAAAAGCCAAACGCTACAAACTACTTCACTAAGTGCACCTCTTTGCATCTACACTGTCCGTTTTATCAGCTCCACTTACCATATAGGTGCACTTTGTAGTTCTACAGTTACAGACTGTAGTCCATCTGTTTCTCTGTATACATTTTTTGCCCCCTTTTACCCTGTTCTTCAGTGGTCAGGACCCCCACAGGACCACCACAGAGCAGGTATTTGGGTTGTGGATCATTCTTAGCAAGCAAAGTTTAAAAACTCCAGCAGCACTGCTGTCTGATCCACTCGTACCAGTGCGACACACACTAACACACCACCACCACGTCAGTGTCACTGCAGTGCTAAGAATGATCCACCACCCAAATAATAATAGTACCTGCTCTGTGGTGGTCCTGTGGGGGTCCTGACCACTGAAGAACAGGGTGAAAGGGGGCTAACAAAGTACGCAGAAAAACAGATGGGCTACAATCTGTAATTGTAGAACTACAAAGTGTATTTATTTGGTAAGTGGAGCTGATAAAATGGACAGTGAGGGTAGATACAAGGAGATGCACTCAATGAAGTGGTCAGTCGGTGTATATCTGTTATCTTTGCCATTAGAATTGTATTATTTACATGGAAAATTTCTAGTGGTTGAGCAAAATTGGGCAACTAAGGGCGATTCTTTGGTATGTGGCATGACATGGCCTGGTCTGCTGGGCGACGGTGATATGAGGGCAATGCCACGTTCACAGCATCCTACCTGGCAAATCATTGATTAGAGTTAGCCTTGAACGCTAAGCTAACAAAGCTCTAAAATACTCAGAATAACAGGCCATGTCATAAGTCAAGGGGCCTGACCAATATATCGTTTGACCAATAAAATCAGCTGATACTGACGTAACACCAGTATTGATGAAAACACAACCCATAAAATGCCAATATTAATAAGCATAAATACATAGAACATATCTTTTCAAACTGTTGCTAACACAATAGGCAATTGGCACTAACTGTCAATTCTGTTATGTTGGCCATGGGGAGAGGGAGACCAGTTATATTCTCTTGGACTCTCAGGACTCACACAAGTCCTAATAGTAGATAAAGACAACCAAATCAAACAAATGAGACAAAAATATTAGACTTGGTCATTTATTTATTGAGGAAACCGATCCAATAATACACATCTGTGAGAGGCAAAAGTATGTGAATCTTTGCTTTAAGTATCTGATATGACCCCCTTGTGCAGCAACAAATGCAAATAAACGTTTCCGGTAACTGTTGATTAGTTCTGCACATCGGCTTGGTGGAGTTTGAGCCCATTCCTTCATACAAAACAGCTTCAGCTCTGTTATGTTGGTGGGTTTCCTCCCATGAACTGCTTGCTTCGGGTCCTTCCACAACATTTCTATAGGATTAAGGCCGGGACTTTGACTTGGCCGTTCCAAAACTTTAACTTTATTCTTCTCTAACCATTCTTTGGTAGAACGACTTGTGTGCTTAGGGTCGTTCTCTTGCTTCACGACCCATATTCTCTTGAGTTTCAGCTCACGGTCAGATGTCCTGTCCTTCTCCTTTAGAATTTGCTGGTATAATTCAAAGTTAATTGTTCCATCGAAAATGGCCCAGATGCAGCAAAACAGGCCCAAACCATGATACTTCCACCACTGTGTTTCACAGATGGGGTAAGGTTTTTATGCTGGAGTGCAGCGTTTTCCTTTCTTCAAACATAACACTCCTCATTTAAACCAAAAAGATCTATTTTGGTCTCATCCATCCGCAAAACACTGTTCCAATAGCCTTCTGGCTTGTCCATGTTATCTTTAGCAAACTGCAGACAGGCAGCAATGCTTGCAACCCTGCCATGCACACTGTTGTTGTTCAGAATTCTCCTGATGGTGGACTCATGCACATTATCATTAGCCACTGTGAGACAGGCATTTAGTTGCTTAGAGTTTACCCTGGGTTCCTTTGTGACCTCGCAGACTATTACACACCTTGCTCTTGATGTTATCTTTGTTGGTTGACCACTCCTGGGGACGGTACCAATGGTCTTGAATTTCCTCCACTTGTACACAATCTGTCTGACTGTAGACTGGTGGAGTCCAAACTCTTTAGAGATGGTTTTGAAACCTTTTCCAGCCTGATGAGCATCAACAGCTCTTCTTCTGAGGTCCTCAGAAATCTCCTTTGTTCGTGTCATGATACACTTCCACAAACATGTTGTGAAGATCAGACTGTGACAGATCCCTGCTCTTAAATAACAGGGTGGTCACTCACACCTGACTGCCATCCCATCGACTGAAAACACCTGTCTCTGATTTCACCTTAAAATTGTCTGCTAATCCTAAAGGTTCACATACTTTCGCCACTCACAGATACATAATATTGGATCATTTTCCTCAATCAATAAATGACCAAGTCTAATGTTTTTGTCTCATTTGTTTAATTTGGTTCTCTTTACTATTATTTGGACTTGTGTGAATATCTGATGAGGTTTTTAAATTTGTGCATAAATACAGAAAATTATAAAGGGGTCACAAACTTTCAAGCTCCACTGTAAATAAATATATGTATATATACATATGTATAAACTGAATCCACATAGACAGCCGTCACTGGGCACTTCCAGATTATCTGACATTTTTCATTGTTGGTTTTGAAAGCTTGCTCTTTTAGATTAGTGAAAAAAGTAATAAAAGTAAGTGTTTTTATTTTTATTAGTAAAGTAATCTGTACAATCACAATCACTATCGAATGCTAACGTCACTTAGTCACTAATATCTCTTTGTTTTGCAGTTAATCTTGTTGAAATCCCAAACACGTCCCCTAAATGCTCCATTTGAAGATTCACTCACTCACACATACAAACAGACAGACAAAACTGGATCACTGTCTGTCGACATATAAAAAGCAGTCACTGGAGTGTTATGAAAAATCCCTCTGTCTCACACGTATGAGCAAAAAAGCTTGCTTAGCAGGAGCTTATATATATATACACCGATCAGGCATAACATGCATAACAAACTCCTTGTTTCTACGCTCATTGTCCATTTTATCAGCTCCACTTACTATATAGGTGCACTTTGTAGTTCTACAGTTACAGACTGTAGTCCATCTGTTTCTCTGATACTTTGTTAGCCCCCTTTTACCCTGTTCTTCAGTGGTCAGGACCCCCATGGACCCTCACAGAGCAGGTACTATTTGGGTGGTGGATCATTCTCAGCACTGCAGTAACACTGACGTGGTGGTGGTGTGTTAGTGTGTGTTGTGCTGGTACAAGTGGATCTGTCACAGCAGTGCTGCTGGAGTTTTTAAACACTATGTCCACTCACTGTCCACTCTATTAGACACTCCTACCTTGTCAGTCCACCTTGTAGATGTAAAGTCAGAGAGAGCAGCTCATCTGCTGCTGCACAGTTTGTGTTGGTCATCCTCTAGTCCTTCATCAGTGGTCACAGGACGCTGCCCACAGGATGCTGCTGGCTGGATATTTTTGGTTGGTGGGCTATTCTTAGTCCAGCAGTGACACTGAGGTGTTTAAAAACTCCAGCAGCTCTGCTGTGTCTGATCCACTCATACCCGTGCAACACACACTGCAGTGCTGAGAATGATCCACCACCCAAATAGTACCTGCTCTGTGGTGGTCCTGTGGGTCCTGACCAGGATATATATATTATGTTTTGTTGATTTTCCCATGAAAAGATGTTAACACATCCTTTACAGGTAATAATATGACATTTTTCTGCTAATTTTAGTTAATATTAGTTTAGTTTAGTGCAATTTCTATTTATTTGCTGAGTTTAAGATACTGGAAAAAAATTATATAATAACAACATAATAACATAAAATATAAAAGTGTTTTCTTCATAGAAAGCTTCTTGTTATAGTATGTTTTATGTATACTTAAAAGCTAACTTTGGATACATTTTACATTTACAGTTTTTGTTACTTTAAACTTCTTTTATGTCGAATCTGTAGGACCTTAACACCAGCCACATGATATACTGGTCAGGCCCTCGTCTGATCCTTCTGGAAATTTTGTGATATGTATACGTATTGCGTTTTATTAAACGTCTTCAAGGATCAGTCAAAATCCCCATCGCTATACATACACCTCATCTGATCTGCATGCAGTGTGTGGACTGACCTCTATGAGCTCAGGCCTCAGGTTGATGGTGCGCAGCCAGTCGCCCAGCCGCGGGTAGCTGTTCAGAGCCTGCGGCCTGTCTGTCTCCGGCACTTTCAGCTTACACTGCAGCTGCTTACAGATGTACTTCATCAGCTTCACCTGCAGGGGGAAACAGAGCACAGAGCAGAGGAGGGAGGGGCATGTTAGCCAGCAAGGAAGAGGTGGACGGGCAGGCAGCAGCGGCCTGGACAGCATGATCTGTTTTAATGCTTTACGCTTCCTCAGCTTTATGTTCCTCTAAAACACACTTTTAGACATGACCTATTACTGCCGCATCACGGAGCTGACTTTGAATAAATCAAGAATATAAATCACGTTCGAGATCTTCTTTTATTAGAGTTATCATGATCAGATATATTAATAGTCTAATAATCTACAGATTATTTTGGTGAGTGATCATATAAAATTGACAATAACAAACCATGCAGAGCCTTTCAAGCCTTCAATACTTCACGAGTAAAAGATGAACTAGCCTATTAGCCTTAAACAGTCTATTATCCTACATCTCTCCATCCCTGAGGTCCATGTGACGTTATAGCGATAACACACTCCTCGAGTGTTCTATTGCTTTAATACAACAGTTAAATAAATAAAGTAATAAATTAATAAACTGGGCCGTGAACGCGGCGTTTAATATGTTTTAATGTTCGCAGTTCCTTCACCAAATTATAGTTCCTTAACGAGAAGCTTGCTGCTACGTCAGAGTAACGAGCTCCGCCCACTCGCTGCACAGCCGGCAGTTCGTTCTCCAGCTCCTCACACTAAATTCCCAAACTGTCACCACCACTGAGCAGCTTTTTTGTTTTTTATTGCGGCAGTTTTATGGCTCAGTCTGATTTGGTCCGACTCTGAAGATCAGACTACACGTTTGGCAAATGGTGTTGGGTTCATTTCTGGCTGATTCCAGGTTGTTTAGCTGTTCTTCTGTCACAGCTGCCGACTGAAAAGCTGCTCAGTGGTGATGACAGTTTGGGAATTTAGTGTCGTCTCATCTTCAGAGTCTGACCGAATCGGCTGTCGGTCAAATGTGATCTTAAAAGTGTCCATTTTCTGTTTGTGCACAAAGTAAGAAGTAAAAATGTTCAAATGGCTTGAGCGTCAAACACGTTGCTTAGCAACGAGTGATACAGTGTTTGTGAAAAATCTGTGATGTTATGGCGAAATATCAGCACGGTTAGAACGCCTCTCAACCAATCAGCTTGCGTGGCCGGAACGAACTCTTGTATATTTGTGGTTTTACGTATAAATAACAAAACACTCATAATTCATTTTTACCTGTCCTCATCTCTTAGAATTAAACAGGCTGGTTCTGGCTTTGGTCCTTTAAGACTGATATATGTAAATGACCTCTGTTCTAACTGGCTGTCCTGTATTGTGCATCATTCAACAAGCACTGTCGGCTGAAACACCCCTTATAACTTCAGCCTGAATGGGCGGAGCTAAACTACTGTAGGCTGATATATAAATGTGTCTGTTGTCGTGACATCTTAACAACAATGAACTTAAATCGTGTTGTCTTTGCAGCTTAGTTTTCGTAAATGGACTGCAGGGGGTGGGGAGTGAGCAGTACACTGTGAAACTTTAAAGACCCCCAGTGTTCACAAACATGAATTTTATATGGTTAAAGTCAACCTGAAATCAAAATGGACCTTTTTACCCTGTTAGTTAATGTTTTTTTTATTCTGTCACTTTGTTCTAAAATGTTTTGGTGGTTGTAAAAAAAAAATCACTTATGAGCTATTTCAGCTCATTTACACTGACAAGTATCTGCACTGTTTGCTGCTGTGCTGCGAGGCGTGAGGCCGTGAGGCCGTGAGGCTGCGAGGCAGGTCAGCTAATGATGGAGCAACGTACACAGACACACACACAATCCAGCTATTCCTCACACATGTTAGGTATTTACACTCATACATGGATTTATTTTAATGATAAAATGAATTCTTTTTTAATTCTTTTGCCGTGAAAATATAGGACAAGTGGAAGTAACACAGATGCTATCTATCTATCTATCTATCTATCTCTCTCTCTCTCTATATATATATATATATACATTTTTTATCAAGGCTTCATCACACAATGAATTGTGTTTTGGAAACTACAGAAAATATCAAAATGTTGCATTTAATTTTAGTTAATTAATTGCTTTTGTATTGAATTTTAGATACAATTTTGAAATAGCGAGAGCTGCAATTTTTTTTATTATACCCTAAATTATGAAAAACATTAAGTTTTAAGAGGGGAAATTTAACCTAATAACACAGAGCTTATGAACTGCCTGTAGATAAGTTAGACCAGTCGGACGCAACCAAACCACCATGTGTTGTAACATCACAACCACAACTTACTGGCTTTCTGGCACACAAGATTCAGGGGTCGAGCCTCAAGCCAGAAAAAGTGGATAACCTAGGCTTCCTGGTAAAAAAAAAAATAGCTCTGAACCTTAGTTTATAGAAAATAATCGTAATTTAAAATGCAGTCGCGATATGAGTTAGAAAAATCGCAATTACATCATTTCCCCAGATCGTTTAGCCCTATTACACATGGAAATACATCACGTTCAGAAAAACAGGAGCTCTGATTTCTGATTGACTCTTGGCTTATGATGATTATATAGATTGGTATTTGTGTGTAATGTGTTATTATAGAGCAGAGTTCACATTTTCCACTGAAAAAAAGGGATTTATTCCAAATCTAATCAACTGTAAACCATGGTGTGTAGCCCTGTCCTATAGGAACAGACAGCAGTAGCACTGCTACAGGTTTATTACCCACTGTCTTTGTTAATGGCAGAGGCTAACATTAGCTTAGCGAGCAGGTCAAAAAAATTGCTTTACATTTAAATTCCAGCTTACTGAAGCTTCAGTGACACAACTTTGGGTGATAAAGACTCAAATTTGTCTGTGTGTTGGGAAGTTACCTATCGCTAAACTTGTTCCATTATATTTTCCTTGGTAGCATCAGAAGCTAGCGTTAGCTTAGCAAGCAGACTAAAACAGATTCATACACCAAAACACTGACTCAATATCTGCAAATTTGGAGTATAATGACTCTGATAGAGTCGAGTGAGTGATGTTGGGTGGCCGGAGTGACAAAAAGACAGAATTTAACCTCTTCTGTGGTGTGTTGAGCTATGTTATTAGCCTTCCAGCTAAGGCTAACTAGCTCTAATTTTCTTTCCTTAGCACCGTTCAACATTTAGCAACAGTTGCTCTTAAGGTTTAATATTTACTGGGTGATGATATGAAGATTTTGCTAGATTATTTTCCGATTATTAATGTTGTAGAGGGAGCTTATATGTTTGCTCAGTCTGTTCCAACATAGAAAGACCCTACTAAAGAAAACAATGAATTTTATACTGGTCTAAGATGGTGTATGCTGGTTTATGCTGGTCTAGTGCTGGTCTGGCTGGTCTCCCAGCGTGGCTGACCAGCATACCAGCATCTAAAACACATTTTATTTTTTTATTAATCCTTACATTCCAATACTGAAGTCTAAAGAGGCAAATCATCAAGAAGGTCTGACCCAACAGAAAGTAAAAGGGTGGTCCAGCCTGAAATTCTCAAATTACAGACACCCAAGGTTCTTCACCATGTCTGTAAAAAACTGTCATGCTCACAAAAACGAAAGCAATCTATTGATAGATTGCTTTTGTTTTTGTGGCTGACTTACCCAGAAGCTGTGCTGTGGTGTTTACAATACTTACTGCTACATTTCACACACAACTGACCAGCAATCCTTGTATGATAAATAGTCTGTATATTATCTGTGAAAATATCATAACCCATAATAAGGACAAAGAGAAACAGTGTCCCACTCCAACAGTTGTGGCTAGGATAGAGTGGACTGTGGGCTGTGTAAGAGGGCAGTACAGGTCAGAGCTGGATAGGGCAGCCAGGGGCTATAGGCCAGCATTTAGCCAATCAAAGCTTGACTCTGTGGCATCCAGCAAAATGCTGCTGAGCGCGGCAAAGGCTTTGATGACCCTGGCGCACAACTCAGTCCTGAGGGCACTGCTGTGCGGTCAGACACACCTCTGCAGAGACGGCCTTATGTAATTGGCTTTTATGGCTTATTTTCCATCTCTGACGTGCCACACAAACGGGTACACACAAACACCAGGCGAAAAAAGATAACTATCAGAGCTTTAATGGGCCACGTCTAATGGTACACTGTGTGCACTTGGCATAACAATGCATTTAGGTAGTAGTGGGTGGTGGCCAAAAATTTATATCACGGCATCGTTAAGTGATGCTATTTTCGTAGGTTTACAGTGGCGTATTATTCTGAGTCCCTTATTATCGCTATGCCCCCTCACTTTTAATAAGAACCGAATTTAGCAACTGCATTATGCAAAATAGTAAAAAAACAGAGCTGAACAAGACAGTTGTATGCAAAATTTTGAACACCCCACTCAAATTAAATGAAGGGAAAATAACACACTCTACAAAACAAACTTAAATATACTTTTTCTGCAAATTTTGTGCACAATTAGAGTTTATGAGTTTAACATATTGGAAAACTATAAAGTATAAAATATAAAATGTACCATAACTTTTACAGAGGCCACTTTTTTTTATTTTCACTGAGAAAATCAACAAAACATGTAATTTGAGAGGGGTGCCCATACTTTTGCATACAGTGGCTACTCTGGATCAGCAAAAGCGGTACTAAATGTTGCACCATGTCCAAGTTCCTCAAGTTATTTGTCTCATATGTGCCTCCTGTACACTTGTGCTTATATCTACAGCTGTCAGATTCTGCTGGAGTTCAACAAACACAAGTCTTTAATGCTACCAGTAATAGCTGGTGTTCGGCTTGTTGCAGGGACCAGGCCCAGTGCCTTCTGATGCAGGTGACCGAGGAAGGACGGCTCCTCAAGCAGTGTGAGAGGGATAGTGGCAAGTGGGCATTTGTCCGTGCTAATCTAAGGGCTAATTCAACAGGTACACTGCTTTTCTAAACTATCTGTGATGCTGAAGATACCCTAACCTCAAAACAATGCTGATGAGAAATGGTGCACTGTAGAGAATCACTTTACAGTGGTGGTGATAGGAACCAAATGTCACGATGCCTACAATACAAATACACCCATTTTATTT